GAGTGGCGCGTGGTCAATGGGGCTATTTCATGCTGGGCGGTGATATTTTCTGAGATTCAGAGCGTAACCTCCGATGTATTTCCCGTAAAACGAATAATGAATCTCGACGATCGATTGGCGAGTTGAAGTTTTCCTCAACTTTAGGATCATTTATAGGCGAAATAGAAGCATATACGACCCATATTGCATGTAATATAATAAATAATAATATTCGTAAAATAGTGAATGGCTACTGCGTGAAAGGCGGAAGGATAAAAATTAATAATTAATAAGGAGTGTGTATTTATGCACATATAGACAGTGGAGATTTTGCCGTGCATGTGCAAAGCCCATAACTTTCTACGCGTGTCTAAGCGAGTATTGCATGATTCCTTGGCAAAGCATCAACCGCGAAGGATTCGATTGCAATAACAACGACAGTACGTATGTAAGTGTACATTAAGACTCTCATGTCTAATGGTGCACAAAAACTCAATAGTGAATTACGCAAAAAAAAAAGTTTCGAATTTTTCTTAAAAAAATAACCCGTCCATTGGTGCACTAATCTCATGCAGTTGGGTTTTTTGCGTTCATTCGTTACACCTATTCAGCTTGTAATTTATGCAATTAGACAAAGGTCAAGAGCAATGAAAACAAAAAATTTGTTCGAACTACGCAGACGTGACAGGCATATATTTTTTTTATTTATTTTACTCGCTGACGATTTATTTTCCATGCAGATGACGCTCTTACGTATACGATCGCGACTCGCGGTCACGTCGAGCTGGTATCAATTGAATTTCGTCGACCAATACGTCAATACGTCTATTAATAGCGAGAATCGATTTTTCGGTCATTTGCTGTCTCCCCGGGGCTGTAAATCATGCATAGACGAGCATCGACTCGATTTTCCATTTTTCTCCATTTAATTTGAATACGTTAACGTTGTGCATGATAAGCGTCTAAAATCAGCTAATTGTACAAATTTTCCAAGCCGCCCGAGAAGACAAAAACTACATACTCACTGAAGGTCACCGGACTAGCATCAAAATTTTATATTTTCGCCAATACGGGTCTCGTCACATAGACATACGTTTATAATACAGGCGATTGAACTTTCGCGAAGCTTAGCAACGAATAAAAGAGAGATAGAAAGAGAGAGAGGGGAGAAAGTTAATTTCTCATGGCTGTTGAACCGATTGCGATTACGTGCGCCACACGATACACTTAGCTGTAAGAGTCCAGCATGTATATTACGCTAGCTGCGCTATGCAATGCATACAAACGTAAAATATACTGTACACGGCTGTGAGTTGGGCATCGAGGTTCGGCATCGCGATCGGCGGCTCGCATTTACCGTTGATCTACGAGGTCGTGCGCGAGTCAAAATCTATTTCCCATTTTCGCTCAGCCTTTTGAAGCTCCGCTTACGTATGCTTCGGGCAAAACGCAAAATATCATTTCACGTTTAACCGCGTTTCATAGTTTTGAGCGAAACTCTTGCGAGTGCAAACGACCAACCGATACTTTTATAAATGCGATTGTATTTATGCATACGCTATTAGATGAGACCGTAATATCTCTCTTTCTCTCTCGTGTGAACAGAGCGACGTTTGAGTATATGTGTACAGTTATGGGTAAACATTGCAGAATAGACTTTTACATCATGATCAGATTTTCACTCATTCACTCTCTCTATTTATGCGTCCGTGCGTCGCGCATACGTATGACATTACGACGTGCGCATAAGTAGAAAAGAAAAGCAGAAACCCCTCATTTTTACTCAATATGGTTGCTTGTGCAAGTACAGATTTAAACAATATTGCCTTTTACTGATCTGAGAAACATGATCAAAGTTTTAGCTTCAACTTTTGAATCATTTCACTTTTAACGATTGAATAGGATTTATAGGGAGAACGCATGTTTATTAAGTATAAAATGAAAATGTAATATTAATATCCAGCGGTACTTGACCTCGATTTACTTTTTTCTATTGCTTATCTTTAGTTTTATCTTTGATGCTTTTTCTTCAATAATTATTGGAAAAGAAAACACAATAATGCAGTATGAAAAATTCGAAGAAAAAAATTACGTTCATAAACCTCGTCAAGAGGAGCTCGGCTTTTAAGCACGGAAATATACCAAGGCTTTAAGTGACTTATTATGCTCATGATTTTATAAAACTCGGAGCGTCTTGCGCATGATACCTGCGTTTATGAATGAGCCAGTATGATTCGTGTAACCAGAGCAGAATAGAAACTCTGAATTTCCATCTGTTTCCGCGATTAATAAAGAGGGTTCTATAAAGTCAAAGTAATTTGTATATGGGTCAAAATAATACTTTTTTACAAAACCGTGCGCACGTATGTCACCGATCTTGACGCGCTTTTGGTATGTTATAGTACATGGTAAAAAGGTCCCAAAAAAAAATTTTTAGACCCCCTCCCCCCTCCTACCCCCCACTTCCGGTATAAACGTCCATTTTCGATCTATATTTTTTCTGAGGACATGAAGCAAGTAAAAAATCTGAAAAAATTCATAAAAATACTTTTCCACAATCCAAACAACCTTGAATTTTTTCAGATTTTTTGAGTGCTTCAGGCCTTCAGATAAAATCATTGAAAATTTCAAAAATCGAGATACGGCGGTATGAGCCGATGTAGTACTCGGAAATTTTTTCAGTTATTTTTCGCATTAAAAAACATAACCTCAATTTTTTTCAGATTTTTTCAGATTACCTAACGCACCTTTTGAAGCCAAAAACCGATTTTTTTGACGAAAATAATTTTTTTAGGACAGTACGGAGCCTCGAAAAATCTGAAAAAAATTTTTTCTTGTTTTTTTCATCAAAATACGTAATCTCAAATTTTTTCAGATTTTTTAATTGAAGGCGATAGCTTCTAGGGCCGAAAAATGCTATTTTTAACAAAAAATGGTTCCTAGAACCCGATGGTTCCGGTGAAAAAATTTGAAAATATTTTTTTTGAATTCCTTGTCAAATTTTAATAAATTTTGACCGTTTCAAAAGTTCGATTGAAGCTTCCTAGCTCATTTTAGAGCAGGACAAAGATTAGTGCAAAATATCTGAAGACGTTTCTGAAGACATTAAGGAATGATAAAACTCGTTTGATGCTCTAAAATGAGCTAGGAAGCTTCAATCGAACTTTTGAAACGGTCAAAATTTATTAAAATTTGACAAGGAATTCAAAAAAAATATTTTCAAATTTTTTCACCGGAACCATCGGGTTCTAGGAACCATTTTTTGTTAAAAATAGCATTTTTCGGCCCTAGAAGCTATCGCCTTCAATTAAAAAATCTGAAAAAATTTGAGATTACGTATTTTGATGAAAAAAACAAGAAAAAATTTTTTTCAGATTTTTCGAGGCTCCGTACTGTCCTAAAAAAATTATTTTCGTCAAAAAAATCGGTTTTTGGCTTCAAAAGGTGCGTTAGGTAATCTGAAAAAATCTGAAAAAAATTGAGGTTATGTTTTTTAATGCGAAAAATAACTGAAAAAATTTCCGAGTACTACATCGGCTCATACCGCCGTATCTCGATTTTTGAAATTTTCAATGATTTTATCTGAAGGCCTGAAGCACTCAAAAAATCTGAAAAAATTCAAGGTTGTTTGGATTGTGGAAAAGTATTTTTATGAATTTTTTCAGATTTTTTACTTGCTTCATGTCCTCAGAAAAAATATAGATCGAAAATGGACGTTTATACCGGAAGTGGGGGGTAGGAGGGGGGAGGGGGTCTAAAAATTTTTTTTTGGGACCTTTTTACCATGTACTATAACATACCAAAAGCGCGTCAAGATCGGTGACATACGTGCGCACGGTTTTGTAAAAAAGTATTATTTTGACCCATATAAATTAAACTAGATAGTAAATCGTTCAGCATCGATAAAATTGTAAAATAATTCAAATTCTCGATAAGGATGAATAGTAGTTCTTTGCTCTCGTCTTGAAGAAGAGAATCTGGTCTGACCATAAAAGTCTTGGTGTATAAGCAGGGAAGGAAAGGGGGGAGAAGAACGGGGGGGGGGGGGGGGGAGGATAAGGTCGTCTCCACTGGCACTTTATACATGCGTGTGCTACATGCTCTTACACTCACGGAGCCTCATTGTGTACTTTATATGCGCAGCTCCAGATGTAAAACTGGTCTTTCTTTTTCGTAGCGAGTGTAAGTACTATTAACACGTGAATTGCACACGCGACCATGCGCTTTTCAATTTCCAGAATCTGCCATTCCTGATAAAAAATATCTCTAAATCTGTTATCCGATATTTTTTTGCCGAATTACTCAAAATCAATTTTCCGTACAAACTACTAACGTACCCAATATCATAACTCAAGCAGGACGTTGAACGTAAAGCAATGCGTCGAGTCTTGTAGTTCCAAGGCAAAAAGCAACAAATGCAACGACGAACAAAGGAACATTGTATGTATCGCAACGAGCAAGAGAAAGAGAGTGAGAGGGCGAGGAGAGGGAAAAGAGATCGGAGGACACACTACGCAAAATAGCGTAGTGATCTAGAGTCATGCTATTGTAGACAAACGTTTTGCCTTTCAAAAATTGAAGGGATATCACGATGTTTGTAGGACGTTAAATAATATCATCGCACCCAGTGGAAGAGTAACGATCTTATTCGATTAAGTCGACGTGTGTCTGGCGGATTACTTTTTATTCGATACATTCAAGCGATTGTTCAAAAAGCCCACTTTCTCATTTACGCTTGTCAAGTCGTGTGATTTGTAAGCTGGTGCATTAACGCATATTACGCGCACAGGCAAAAGCGAACTCTCAAAACCGTCCCACAGCGATGGCAAGCATCGCTCGATGCTTACCTATATTTAAGACTAATTTTAAAAATGTATCGAACGTCCATCTGACTGAGATAACTTCAGGCGATTCGTCGCGCGAAGCCCATTTATAACCAAAATTAACAAGTGCAACGACCCGCGCATCTACAACACGAGTCGTATTACATAAAAAATAAAAATACTCATCGATTGATTAAGGCCAACCCTGTCTGATTGCAGAATGCATTAAGTTAAAGCTCGCACGGACCACGAGCGCAGAAAGTCATGCCATCCCTGCTGGAAGCCCTCGAGCGTAAATACGGCGACGGCCCAGCCGACTGCTGCTGTCTGACGGACGACGAGCAGGAGTCGCCGCCGCCACCGCCGTCGCCGCCGTCGGCAGCGGCCCAGCAGCTGTCGGGCTCGCCGAGGTCGCACGCCCTCTCGGTCAGCATATTCATCCCGAAGAAGTCGCCGCGTCACACGGTGCCGGCCCTGCTGGTGCTTCAGGACTGCGACATCGAGTGCGCCGGCGCCGACGACGAGAAGCTCAGGAACAAATGCAGAAACGTCGAGGAGCTCGACCTCGCCCAGAACAAGCTCTCCAAGTGGGACGAGGTCTTCGGCATACTCAGGCACATGCCCAAAATCAAATTCGTCAATTTGAGCTTCAATAGCCTGCCCGAGGCATTGGAGGTTGGTTTTCCATCGTAAAGCACGCCGAGTGCTCAATTAGCGCGTCTTTTCTGTACACTTTTTTTTTTATTGCCTATCTAGAGCAAGCTAACGAGTAAAAACTTGTAAAATTCGACTTGTTTTTTTATTTTCGACTTTGCTCATCAAGGAGGGAAAATTTCTCTGTACTAATAGTCGCGTTTATTGTTACCTCTGCAAAGGTAAAGGATGGCAAGTACGATGCTCTTCGCAATCTCGTTCTCAATGGCACGCGAGTCTCCTGGTCGACGGTTCAAGGCCTCGTTCGCTTGCTGCGCAACCTCGAGGAATTACATCTGTCGCTGAACGATTACAAAACGGTGGATCTTGGATACGAGAAGCCGGAAAATTGCAATCCGGCCCTGAAAAAGTTGCACTTCACCGGCAATCCCGTCGAGTATTGGCGAGAGATCGCCAAGTTGGGATACGCCTTTCCCGGCCTCGAGAGTCTCGTGCTGGCCGAGTGTCCCATAAGATCGCTCAACATCGAGGAAAGCGAAAGCGCCAAGGAAAATGCGGAAAACGAGGATACGGAAAATCGGAATCACATCGTCGAGAGAAACGGCGGGATGCAAGTGGAAAACGGATGTTCCGGTAAGATATTGCAAATAGATTCTCTGCATTGCTTTGAAAAATTGCAAATTAATGCAAACTCAGGTGTACTGGCTACAGCAATTCATTGATTATAAACGATAAGCCTATTCGGGTTTTTTGCACTCTGTTGTATTAAGCAATTTGCGACGCGAAATTACATCTAAGTAGTCCGAGTCGAAAAATAATGAAAAGGAAAAAAAGATTCTTCCGACATATATCGTTGTAGCGAACTACCCAGTCGCGTATTAGCTAAATCGATAAAATTCATACGTATAAATTGTAATTGTTGCAGGCAACCGAAATTTTTCCAACGACGAGGACGATATGACGGAATGCGAATCGGACGGTTCGAAGCTCAAATCGTCGCACGACCCATTCAGAAATCTACGATTCCTCAATGTCAACGGTACTCTGCTGGCTAATTGGGACGACATCGAGCGCATCGCGAGGTTTCCAGCACTAAAGTCACTGAGGATACAGGGCTGCCCTTTGTTCGAAGTAAGACATGAGTGATATAATTAGACGAAAGTTTGACAAAAAGCTCACACTCGGATTCGTTGCTTTATCGTATGTGTGTCTGTATCGACAGAGTCCACGCGAATACACGGAGCACGAGAGGCGACAATTGCTCATTGCTCGTTTACCGAACGTCGAGACCTTGAACGGCGGCGGCGTTATTTCATCCCAAGAGCGCGAGGACGCGGAGCGCGCCTTCATTAGACACTATATGGACAAACCGGAAGCTGAACGACCAAACAGGTACGTACGCGAGTTGATATGTAGCTATAGCCGCGTAGCGCCCATAGGCCTTCATGAAAAGCTGCTTTGTTTGCTGCTGATTTTTTTTGTCTCGTCGTCGCGCGCCTATCGGCGTTTGCCTCTATAGCTGCTCTGCGCGCTTTTTACCGGTTTGAAGCGGTTTTAAAACGAAAATTTCTCTCTACCGATACTTTGGCTTTTCTTTAGATACGCCGAGTTGGTGGCTATTCACGGAAAGCTCGACCCATTGGTAAATGTTGATCTTACGCCAGAAAAGAGGGTCAAAGTCAAATTCACTTATGGCGACCTAGATGAGGTAACGCTCGAGTTTAATTAACCGATTTAAGCGATTAATGGCGGGTCACGCTAACTCAGGCCTTTATGTTTATTTTTCAGGTGAGGTCGGTCGATGTGTACAGAACGGTGTTTGAGCTGAAAACTAAATTGGAAACTATGGTGAAAATCCCCGCCAATCGAATGAGGCTATTCTACATCGATCAGGTAAATATATATCGAGAGAGACGCTCGCTCGGCGCTCATAACGACGCCTCTAACGACGTTGCATTTCTCAGGAGCTGAGATCTCAGTACGGGCCGGAAGAGATGCTGTACCCGAACAAACAGCTCTACCGATACAACATACGCAACGGCGACGAGATCATTATCGACAGCAAGCTCAATCGGTGCTCGTCGTCGCAGTCGTCCTCGCCGACCCAACGCCAGCAGTCTTCCTTGCGCTCCTGAGATCCCCATTGTGTCAATAACGAGTCGACTTTTTGAACGATATCCACCAGGCGGATCGAACATTTTGTTCGATTTTCAACTTTGGAATCAAACTGGCGTCCGTCGTTGAACGGACGTCCAAAGTGATTTTGATACTTGCTTATCAGCGTTCTGCACTTTATTAATGCAAAAGAAAGTATGTACAAAGGGAGGCGATAATTTATGATCGCCGGTTTTTCGACGCGCTTTGGATGCTCTGGTGTAAAATGCCGTCCGACGTTAGGCACTCGCGTGAAAGATTCGAATTTTTAACTCTGCAAGAACGATCTGTTTTGCCGACCGATTTTTTATTACAATCATTGTGGACATTTACAGTCACGAGTTCCATTATTAATTTTTTCTTGCCTGAGTTATGAGAGCTTTGTTTCTTCGTGATACCTGTGTGTATTCATAAAAAGTCTTTTTATGTATTTAAAAATACAGACTTTAGAAAAATTGTCGCTTCTAATAGGATATTTTTAACGAATCTTCCGTTTTACACCATTTGCAAATAATAATGTACCGATAAAAAAATTGTAAAATTCATATTTATTAAAAATAGAGTTTATGGACTGCGTAATTCTGAAGTATATCATTTCCGTGAAAAGAGTGAGGGAGTTCTCGATGAAACAATAGTCGGTAAAACAATTTTTTGGTTTTAAATTTTATTGATGATTTTGCTGGTATCTATGCAAAAGTACTGACTGAATTATTTTTTGTGTACTGCAGCGACAACTATGCTTCAAAGACATTTGAGATATTTTTATATCTTGCAACAAATAGGTGTCATTAGTCAAGCAATATCATCAAATGTGAGGCTGACTATGTTTCAGATTTACGAAAGAAAATGATGTGGCAACTGATTTTGTTCGATTTCTCTTCACTGAATATTTGTATACTACTCTATAATGTATGTATCGACATTTTTGTAATGAATAACCACCCGAATGCTTCTATGACAGCATTCTAGGGTAAGTCAATGTTGTGTTTGATTGATATTTAAATACTATGGTGTTATTTCTTTAGTAGAAAATTTAATTAATTCGAGTATTTATTCAAGTACTTAAAATCATGTTCACACATGCTCCATTAAAACTAGCGAAACAAAATCAGCAACAACGAATACCTATTAAATGCTCTCATGAATTTCAAATAAAATTGAATTCGAATTATTTGTTCATGTATTTTATAGCCGATGCAGAACGTGAGACATGTATAAATAGACTCAAATTTACGATAGTTTATTTTCGTGCAGATCTCGATATTGCATAAGCAAAACGAATGCTTACGTATAGCCGATCGCATTCGTTTCTGAAAGAGTGAAAAGGAACATCAAGATAAATGAGCTAGTGCAGCCCTGAAAAAGTCATTATTTAGTGCCTGTATTAAATGCATTGAGTGAACTTTTGGAATATGATAGTTCCATTTCTTCGTGATTTAATCAATCGATATTTAATTATGTAAAATTGTACACACTTAAATTCGTAAGGGATATAACATAAAATGTATAGTTCACTTTATCATAATTTGATCATTCATCATAAATATTTACTTAAGTGATAATATCGTGCGAATGTGTGAGAATGTAAATAAGCAAATTTAAAGCGTTGTTTGTTTTTTTCTGTTTATAGATTTAAAAAAGTTTAATAATTTCATTCAAAAAAAGCTCTGATGGTCAATTCTTAACCAAGCAAACGAATAGTTTTTATTGCCGGAATAGTGTTTATGAATATTTTAATAACTTTCAGGTTTTGTGAAGTGCAATATTTCAAAAAGTACTGCGTAATTTGTACATAAAAATAATTTTCTTGCTGTATACTTTATTACATGACAAACTCTTACACGTAGTTAGCCATGAAAAATATTTATAAGTTGTCAATTCTATTTCGGCTTTTTAACATATTTACCGCAAGTTCAGCCGGTTCATCTTTAATTTACGGTTGAGTAAAGTTTTCCGAATTAAATTCAATTTTGTGATTGTAAGCGACTAAAAATTGCGTTGAATATAAATATTATACATCTGCAAGAGGAAAAATGACTGAGTTCAAAAAGCAAAAAACCATTAACTTCTGTCATGAACTGCTTCATTGTGGATTTTAAAAATTTACTGGATAATGCATCATATCTTGGTTAAACAAACCCTAAAAGAACACTCATGTTTTTATACGATACGCAGTGAGATATATTTATACATACTACGTTAAACAGCATATGTTTAACGGAGCTCGACTTTGTTCTAAACTATATTCTCTGATTTTTTTGAAAGATATTTCTTTGAGTATTTATATATTGAGTTCTTCCATTATTATTTTATCACTAAATTAAGTGTGATCCTACTTAGAAATACGTAATATATAACGAAAATATTGAATAAATTGCTTATTAAGTTTTATTGCATCGATTATTTTATTTCAAACTTGGAGTTTTCCCTTTTTTGAAAGTTTGGATGTTTTTCTAATACTATAATTATAACGATTTTTTGAATAGAAGAAAAATAAAGGTCCAAATGAAGTTTTCTAAGCCAGCGTTTTTTTTATCAAAGTCTAATCTAATATATTCGATAAGAGAGTAATTGAATATAAATAAACTACTATTACGTCTTGTTAGATTTTTAAATATTTGAGGATGCGAATTTGATTTCCAATCGTTCTTTGATACATAATACAATTTTTTTAATAGCAACAGTATAAAAACGATTTTATCGCCATTTAAATTTTGTTGAATGGGTTTAGATGAGTTTTTTTTTCATGAAAATGGCGTGCCTCATTTGTAGACAAATTGATTAGAATCATTAGGATATCGAGCTCGTTAATTTTTTTTGATTTTAGCTTGTCAAATTGAAATATTACTTCCGACAAATTAGAAACATTAAATGAGATGAGGTTTTATGAAAAATGCATTATTTAATTTTAATGTTTAATACTATATAAAATTTAATTCTTCAAGCCACTTCAAAAGTTTCATCTCAAACTCATAATAATGAAAATATTTATTCCTTTCTCTGATTTGAAGCTATCATTTTTTGTTGCAAAAATTGTTGTTTTTATTAGCTTTAAATCAACGCCGAACCAAATATTTAATATAAATATAGTGTTTGAAGAAGAAAGAAGTAAATTTTCTAGAAAAAGCGTGACTTACAACTAAATTTATTACAATGGTAGAAAACGCAAGATTTCGATAAATAGATTAAAATAACGTGGTAAGAAATTTTGTCAAAAAAATTTATTTAAATGCAAGCTTTAAATAAAAGCTAAACTTTCCTCAAGTAAAGTAGTAAGGCTTTCCAAACTTTTAGCGTATTATTTTATGATGTTCAGACAAGCATAAGAGTGTGTTTCGAAACAACAGCGACGTACGATGACGTACGTGGAATAAAAGTTACCAGAAATAGTCATTCGTTATTCAACAGAAAGTCTGTACAGAACGCACACAGGCCCGTGCAAATAAACATGGCTGAATCAAACGAAAAACTTTTAAAATTAGACATTCCAATAAGTCTGTGGATTTTTTCGATAAGGTTGCAGTTATCGCCCGACGAGTGGATCATCACTCATGCCCTACAGAGGAAGCGAATTCGGGTAAAGAACAGGTAGTTCTCTGGTATATCACATGCGCTCACACAAGCCGTCTGTTATTAGTACGAGGAAGGGAGGCCGTATAGTTAAACGCATTCGGTTTAGGTGTGTACGTACACTTAACACATCGGTACGTTACAGCTGTTGGTGTTTCGCGATCGATGTCGAGTTGCTGTTTTGCCAAAGAGCTCCGTCGAGTTCGAGATGTAAACTTTTATTTTTCAAACACCTGCTTTCTTTCCTTGGGTACCGAAATAAATCGATGATTGACGTACATTTAAAAATGTAATTTTTTTCCATGAAATGTTCGCATTCTATAATTTTTCTGAAAAAGAAATTGTTCAAAATCTTAGTCAGGTCACTATTTTCTCGAATAAATGATATCTTGATGAAGATTGACAGATTTGGCGGCCAGAATTTTTTTTCGAACTTTTAGTTTGTTCAAAAAGTCAACTACTATAATTTGTACATTGAAATGCTCTTACTCTCATGCTCATATACGAATGATCAATTAAATGAGTTATTACTATCAACGTGACAGATTCGTCTAATGAACTTTCAAGTTGAGCACTGCACTTCTTATTCGTGCATGAAATTAAATTTAATTTTAGCTAAAAGTTAACATAAACAATGTATGTATTTATGCATTATTCAAATACTTTCTTATGCAAAAACTTGATAAAGACATTTACTTTTGAATAGCATAAAATTAACATTCAACGTGAAGGATTAAATAATGATAAAAAAATGTTTTTTCATTTTTCAACGTGCAAGTGTACTAAATGATTGTACCGCGTGTACATCAACGATTAAGTTTAGCTCGTTCGTTATAAAAGACATTTTTTCTGTTTTTCGCTCGAGGAATCATCAACTATATGCAAATCTGCATAACGCAAGCGACCTACATGTCCAAACAACTGAGCAATATCAAAAAGCGTTTTTGCCTCTCTTCCTCTTGAACACGAGTCTCTGAGACAGAGCGATAATGAAACATCCACGTATGACCCTTTGCATATGTGCACGAGTGTGCAATAGCTCACTGTACTGGGGACGAGCTTGCGCGACTATCCGACAGAGGGAGTGCGAGCTTTTTCGCAAGCTCTCCCTAGATACCCGTATAGGTGAATAATTCGACTCGCTCGTGTCGCGCGCGCGAGAGAGTGAGTGAGTGAGTGAGAGAGAGAGAGAGAGAGAGAGAGAGAGAGAGAGAGAAAGGCACGCAAGTTTGAGTTCAGTCAGTGTCGAGACACAACTCGAAACGCATCGGGCCGCCGTCGTCGCAGCTCGTCACGTGTGTTCGGCCGTGTGCTCGTAAGTGTGTGCTTGCAGACGTGCGTGCGAGTGGCCGAGAGTGCAAAAGCCAGTGCAAAAGCTCATCGTCACGTGGGCGAACCCATTTGAATACGAGAGATCGTCGCCGTGCGAGCGAGATCCGTCTCGCGCTGCTCTTCTCCCTGTGTGCTTAATGCCGCGAGTGCACGATATCGTCGTAGCGTCGACTCGTTGAATGAGGATCAGAAGAGGAAGACCAAGATCCGAGGAGGAAGCGATAATAAGGCCGATGGCCACTGCTTCGGATAATCCGCCAGCGCCAATGATACAGTCTGCTCGAAGGTGACGGCGAAGAAGCCTCGTAAGTCTCTGTTTTGTCCCAGTGCGCTCGTATAACTTGATTATTCAGCGTATATATTCTAGCTTATATATATACCTAGATCCCAAGTGGCGTTGAACTTTACTACCTGCATGTGTCTTGTGTCTATAGTTCGTTATGCAATACGCACCGCGTGAATCAACAACTTATACCCACACAAATCGTAGGCAACTGTTAGCAATGTGACACGATGAGGGTCGAGCGCGGGATCAGACTTTTACTTCGCTTTTGGGATGGCCGAATATTGTCTTACTCCACTCGTTCTGTCTCTCTCCCTCTCTTTTACACCCTCCTATCGTTTTATTATCAATAACACAATGGCTTACTTTGAGTATAAAAAATTTTGGGCGCAGATTCTATTTCTGAACGTTTTTGAGCGCAAAATTGATATGCTCGCCAAGTGCAAACATCTCTATAGTGATTAATCCAAAACAAACAGTAAAAACGACGCGATTAATGTACCATAATGGACTTTGAAACGCGTAGAGTAAATGCGTAAACAGTAAGGCTTCATTGAGAGTCGGTCATCTGGCATGTGGTTGGGAGAAAAAGTTACCTGCTCGCGTGCAAACATACTCGAACGATAAGCCACTCTTCATTCAGCGGGCAAACGGGAAGTACACGCAGAGACACATCCAGCAGCGGCCACTCGAGCACGCGGAAGGACTAGTTAAAAAAGAGGAGTTTAAATGCATGCACTGGGGTCGCCTGGGAGCCCGCTACTACTGCATACATAAGTACGCGCGTACCGAATTCGCGCTCTCTTCTTATCAGCCAGTAAACGTATTACGGGATTTCGAATGAATCTATGAAAGGTTCAGCTTCAAGGAGGAATAATAATGCTCCATGTGAGACTAATGCGATGTCCGTGTAAATAAAATATTGACTCGAAACCCAAATTTATCGAGCGCTGACATAATAGCAGGAGGATCGACGTCTGATCTATCGAGTCCATCTTACAGGTCCGCGTTGTTGAACTCGAATTTCCCGATGAAAAACAGTACACGTAGACTCGCTCGCTCCGTCGTTCTTCGACCCTTGGGCCAGCGAGGGAGTCCTGTGCCTTCGCGTCTCGCTCGTGCGAGTTAACACGCGTACACGCGGTAACGTGACGGTCATGACATTTGCTCCCCCTGCACCGCGAACATGCAATTTCTGGCTTGACATTTTCCATGCGAGCGTCGACGGTGTATAATTCGCAGCGAGCCACGCAGGCGTCTCGATCGTGCCTGTAATTGCGACTGCGAAAGGTGGTAATCTTCGTAAAGAGCTACGACTCGAGTGCAACTACACTTTGACCCGAGTCGAAGCTCGACGAAAACTCGCGTGCGTGCGCGCGAGACAAAAAAGATGCGAGACACGATCGATTTTGCAGCGCGACGGAGAGGGAGACGCAGAGGAGAACGAACCCGTTGGACTTGCTCCCTTTGCTCCGTGACTAGCGCTGTGCTTGGCTGCCGCCGTCACTGCTCCTGTTTTTTCCTAATGCAACGCGAGTTTTGTCATCTAGAAAAGCTATATATACGCGAGCCAGGGTACACGTGCGACTTTTGCAGAGACTTAGGCCTTCCTCGATTCGACGATTGTTTTTAGAATTGCCAGTTCGAGATACTGTTATTTGTATACGCGCGTGCATAAACATTGGTAATGTACCCTGACTCAACAGTTTGATTAAAGGGACGCGAAGACTAGTATATACCTTGATTGAAGACGCAAGCCAAATCGACACGTTTATGTAGAATATCTTCTGTGAAAGAAGAAAAATAATAATACATTTACCTACAGATATCATGTATATTTTACTTCAAATTGAATAAAAGTCAGTTGCGCTGTAAAAGCTATCATATTCGATGCAACACTGTGCTACTTGATTTAAAAAACTTTGTTAAACATGGCTCCTCTTTTTCCAATGTTTCTGAAAATAAACGACGCTGTACATACACACAACGTATTGCTTACCGGTATTATCTGATATCCAGGTCGAGATAAACATGTTAAATAGCTGTATTTTTTACCATTTCACGATAGTACTAGCGATTGGAAGTTTGCATCGGCTCGCAGTGGAATGTACGCTATTTTTAGTTTTGTGGCAAAAGGTAATCGATATTTTATCAAGACGAAAATGATGTGCTCGCGTTTCAAGGGTATCGCGTCGTGAATCATGAAAAATTTCAACCATCGGATTCAAAAAATTTTTGATTCGTGACGTGTGTTTCGGGTATAGCTCGCTAATAATGCAAGGTAATATAATATTAGGGCAAGCTCGAGCTCGTGGTATCGATCACATGCGAATTCGTATTGTTGTCAGTGACCTAATTGAGCGTATGTATACTTTTGACTGCTTGCATTATGAAAATATTTATTATTTCGAGCGCGTGGAGTGATGTTCTGGAATCAGGAGTTAACCCGGCTACTAGTAGATTAAAGATTCTTTCAAAAAGCTTCGACGTGAATTTAAGACTCTGTACAATACTTACAAGTTCAATTTGGCACATACGACCCACTTGAAATTCTCGAGAAAAAAGGTAGTTCAAATTCATATTAATAGGAATTATATCACGGGCTTAAATACCATTCTTAAACTATCGAATTTTCAAAATAAAACTAGATTATATCTTATTATTATTATTATTATTTATTCTTTTCGTGTGAATTTTAATAGTAAATATTTTTGGTAGAGATAGAGTAGAGATTGAATAGAGATTTTGCAATGTGTCTTTATATGTCCAATTATATTGTACAGTGGTTCTACTAAAGATAGGATTCAAATCGAATTTTTTTTGAAAAGTTTCTTGTTTCGTAGTTATATATTGAATAAATAATTTAAAGTAACGTTGAAAGTTTTAGGCATTCAAGTTATTAATATTCATACTACATGTGATACTTGAAAAGAAAATTATTTAGGGATAATACGGTGAAAATCAGATTTTAAATCTAAGTGTGTATTTTATACGAAACTAAGAGCTTTTCACACCTCACGATGGGTTTTAAAGTATATTACTTGTTACCAGTTTTTTGTTACGCACCATGATATTTTTTTTATTAAATTAGTTTTAAAAGATATACAGAATATAAATATCCTCACTATCAGATGATGGATTTGATTGGCATTGTTCGCAAACGATAATTACTACAGGTTCATATAAGCTTTTTCCTTTTAATCATGAAAGTTCATCACAGATATCCTCCCGTGTTGCTTTCCCAAGGCAAGGGCAGGCACATTTACTGAGTATTTGCTTCAGTTGCTAGGGAAAAAGCATGTGTAGTCTATATAGCAGCCCTGAGCTATGTCGACTATATCACTCGCTCTTTATTTCCGGTTTCATAGCCGCATCATTTCTCGTCTAACGACGAGGGCGGAAAAATATCGTAAGGATCATGGGTTATGTATCCATTAAATCGAAGAGACACCATTTAAATTTTTTTATGATTTGAATTTGATTATGATGTCACGATGGAATGTGATGGAGAATTTATGGTGTAATGAAAGATAAATCCAGGAATTTTTTCTTGATCGGATTTTTATGTGCTCATTGAATTTGTTTTTATACGTCGCTAGGATGTACATTTTTTTGCTAACTTTATTTAAAGACTGCTTATTAGATATAATCTGCTAAACGTTAAGTGAGAAAAATAACATTTAATAAAAAGCATATTTTTATGTGTGTAATTGACCCGGAATTAACGACAAGCCGAAACAAAACTTTCAACCAACGTTTTTTCAGGCTAAATTTTTTTATTGCAATCTAGTCCTGTTTTCGATATGTTCCAAATCTACATTGTATACATGCTATAACCTCATTTTAAATTCACAATAGAATTTGAAAATATCGAGCATAACAATTTAGAAAATTTTTGTGTACTCGTAAAGGAATGCATATAAAATGAAGAGATTTTCTATTGTATAGTTGATAGGCAGGCAGCTTACTTTTATATAAAAAGGGTGCCCCAACGTTATTATTGTAACTTGAATTTCTATTCATTCTTCAGATGCTGACCCACAGATTTTCATTTTCTCGATAAACTCCTCGCTTTGAGCTTTCCAAACGTTTCCATTGCAAAATAAAAATGTTTGAATATCATATATTGTACCCCTTATCGTTGTTTTAGACAATTGATGTTTGCGCGAATGGTTTATTTGTCGTCGACAATAGTTAATCATGATATTAATTTTATCTCGTGGATTTTGTATGAATGGGTTTAAATATGTTTATTTTTCCTTGATACATATTTATGAGGTTGTTTTACGTCTCGCGGAGAAAACAAGCTGCCGAGCAAGTGAGCGAGATGTCGATAACCACACGACGACTCTCTACTCTTTGGTCCACTTGTGTAACTGGGCCATGCCCTCCCCTATTGCGCTTTCACCCCTCCTAAAGAGGGAGAAAGGAGAGAAAAGAGGAAGATAAAGAGAAGTTTTAGCAAGTCAGAGCTCTCATGTCAGATTATATTGTTATATACGTATGTAATACTTACATATATGTATAATATACTTTTTAACAAAAATAAATTTTACAAATAATATGTTTGAATGAAGCGGGAAGAAAAGCAGAGAAACTTTTTCGAGAGCTATCTAATTTTTAAAAAAATTGTCAACGGCCCGGAAGAACTGTGCGTGTAAGCAATCGATATAGCTAAAGTCTAAAATTTCACGAAAAACCCAAGAATCATATGTTTTTAAAAGCTATAGTTGGATGAGTAATTTCTGAACTCGAAATCGTCGAATTTCGCATGCTTTTAAAACGAGCAGTTGTTCATCGATTATTTCGCGAGGTACTGACATCGATTTATACGGAAATATCATAGCTTCCATTGTTTTTCTTTATCGATTGAAAATCAAAAATACTTCATTTGAAATGTTGTTTCGTTAATTTGATGAGATTTTTGTTCGGATACTATTTGTCCGGATTATTATAAATTTACATTTGAAATTTTATCTCATTTGCACCACGAAATTGCATTAAAAGCTCTCGTTGCCGCGCTTTTTGCATCACATGGATTAAGTACGCACTCAGCGTCAAATTGACTTAAAAAGTTGTATTTACAATAGTATTTGTGAGCTTGCAATGTGCGGCAACTTACGTATAGATAAAAAACTGCGCGAACAAAATTTTAGTAACACAACAAATTTAGTAGATAACACAAGCATTTTTTAAGAGGTAGTTAATTTAGTAATTTATTAAGTTCTTAGCACGCAAGATGTAATTGAAATTTATCGTCTCTTACTTTTGTGCCAATCAAGTTGTACATTATTATGATGATATTTAAGCGCGAAAAGGTGCGATGGGTATTGTGCTGCGATGACGTCATGGTGTACGCGTGTACATATGCTTCATCCAGACATACCTCCCTGAGCTTTGTACATGCTCAATCAAACGTGTGCAATTTATGGTACTCAACGTCTCTATAGCTACAAATTTTAGCTACACATTCTTCAAATATTTTTCGTTTTTTGATGGACAGGAAAAACCATTCCTTCCTGCTAGTTTGGAAATTATTTTGATATCTCGACGACTTTCAGCGAGTTACGAAGCAGACATTTCTCGATCTGACGTTGAAGATGATAGATTTACGTTATAAGCTCAAGCGCGTATAAACTAATTGATTGCGTCGGCAGATTAAGTGACACGTGTATAATCGCGATTCTATTTATACGATTTCCCGACCAATATGGGTCAGAGACGAACACTTGCCGAAGAATGCCTCATTCTGAATTTTCGTATTCTGCACTCGCAAGCTCTACTTATGCTTCGTTAAAAAAATATTTACGTGAAAATATTGCACCCTATGGTAATTCTTAGTTTTGTGAATACACTTATGAGTCATCTACGGATTTGTACTGACAACTTCAAAGATATACACTCGGCAACAAAATTATCGCAACAAAAAAATTCATCGAAATTTTGTCGATTTTCAAATGCTTCTATCTTGGGCTAGATTTATCGTATCGACACGCTTTTTTTTTTAATTTCTTGGAAATTTTGTCCTCTTTAAATCCATATAAATTAAGATAAGATTTGAGTTAATGTTGAGTTACCAGTAGTATTTGAGCGTGACCCTAAAAATTACTGAAAAAAAATGACTGTTTGAACGTGTACCAGTACCACAGTGATTTTTTTATCGAAATCTAACATACACCATCGCAAAGTGCTCTTTTTAACGAGTAATTTAAAAAAAAAAAGACTTCTCTACGATTTTTTAACGCCCTGTAGGTCGATTTGAAGGTACGGTTTATGTACGCAAAATGCCCAGAAAATCGTCTTGATTTCAGGTAAACGGGGGATTTTACGTACTTTAAATGGTATCTTCAAATCGACTTACAGGGCGTTAAAAAAATCGTAGAGAGGTCTTTTTTTTTTTAAATTACTCGTTCAAAAGAGCACTTTGCGATGGTGTATGTTAGATTTCGATAAAAAAATCACTGTGGTACTGGTACACGTTCAAACAGTCATTTTTTTTCAGTAATTTTTAGGGTCACGCTCAAATACTACTGGTAACTCAACATTAACTCAAATCTTATCTTAATTTATATGGATTTAAAGAGGACAAAATTTCCAAGAAATTAAAAAAAAAAGCGTGTCGATACGATAAATCTAGCCTAAGATAGAAGCATTTGAAAATCGACAAAATTTCGATGAATTTTTTTGTTGCGATAATTTTGTTGCCGAGTGTATATTAGGGTGATAAAAAACTTACTTGTAACATTAAGCGATTTGAATGAGTTTAACCCTGCAAAATACAAATAAAAGAGAAAAAGAGAGACTACTAATGGGTTTTCTACGGGAATTTGTGCCATTTATAGTGTTTGCTTAAATAAATTTTATTCACAAAATGTTATAAGACCGACGTAATTTTCATTGCTCCAACTATGTAAACGATACAGTAAGAAATAAAAAAACAAGTTTTATTAAAAAAAAAAAAAAACGGTTTACTCCTACATTAGTTATACATTCATATCGTAATAAAATGAAAATCAGGTCTAAATCAAAACTTGATTTTACTTGATTAATGATCGATATTGGAGAAAAGAAAGATAAATGTATTATGTCCATTTTAATTAAAGCAGCAGCTTTAAAATTAGATTACTGGCCTTTTGCATTAAATTCAATCTGGACTTTTTAGCGCATATTAAGTTACATGCCGTGAGCGAGTAGTAGAAATGGACGAAGGCAAAAATCGAAACGCTGCGAGGTCACAGGGTCACTGGGTGAACGACTAGCGACGCTACGTGCTGGAACATTCAGCGAAATTTTGATGCTCGCAAAACGCAACAGGTTCCTTGTTACATTGCAAAGACAATTCGCAAAAAGAAAAAATAAGGATCTACTCGCTCTGATAACTGTCATCGAAACTAATTTTGACTGGCGAGTATTGGAAGCTAATCCCAGTTGTACAGTGGAATTCAATTACACGCCTCGTGGCAAATCACTTTCATATAAAGCCTGAGTAATTTTGTACACGGATGGGGTTAATCAAAAATACATAATCTACTCTTCATGTTATCAGAAACTTTTAATTGGTTAAATTTTCGAGTCATCTCTCTATTTCCTTTTTACGATAGAAAAATAAAGTCAAAGTTCAAAGTTGATCCAATTTCGATGGATAACTATAAGTACAAAAAATAGAACTATCAGTCAGCGGTAGGCACTTGTGAGTCATCGGTTTACCACTCGATGCAACTGTATGAATTCTTTGACTGGAATTTCTTTTCTCGTAAACCATTAAATTCCTATCTTATAGTATCGATTTCAAAATATCGTACATTATTATTATTTTTTCAGCGATAAAAAATTAATATAGGCGACAATGGCTTCAAGAGTCCCAAGCGTTCATCAGCGAAAGCTCGGACCGGCACCTATTGCCTCTTTCGAGGATCTGTCCGATGAAGTCGAAAACGTAAGTATTTTGTTGTTGTTGTTGCAAAATCGTCGTTTCAATGCGCTCATTTATTTTTCATACAATTTATAAAGTGCGAATAAAAATGGGCAGTAGGTTTTTAATGGGGATTTTCTAACGCACGTGTAGCCTGCCCAAGGTCAAATAGTTGAAATATCCAACTGAATACCCTTTACGACGGCTTCTTTGCCAATAGTTAAAAATATGGCGAGAAAAGAGAATGAAGTAAAAATAGACTTGGAAGAGCGCAGACGATGCGAGAGAGAATCCTTGAAATGGAAAAAATAGTTGTTGCGGCTAGGCAATGGATAAGATTGAGTCATGCGTAGAAACGAGGCTGGAAGAGGGGATTCATCGATAAATAATGTGTGTATATGAGCGTGTGTGTACGTGTGTTACAATACAGGGTGCCGCTAGTGGTGGCGAATCGTCATCGGTAGGTGGAAGGATGCCTGGCATAGTCGAGCACCAGCAGCATCCACCGCCGCTGGCTGTCGCCCATCACATGCTCAAGACGCCGGCCACGCCGAGGATCGACATCAGTCGGGCGAGCAGCTCATCCGTGCAAGAGGAGGAAAGCGGCTCGAGGGAGTCGACGCCCGAGAAAGAACTGCTCGCTGGTGAGTCGCGATGCTTTGTATATATAAATTGCTGTGTTATTAGGACTCGCGAGAGTAGGAAATTGACAGCTGGGGCTGGATTTGCCGGATCCGTGTACAGGTGCCGCGCCGCCGGAGGGCTGCCAGCTGCAGCTCGGCTACAAGGAGGACTGCACCGATCTGCGCTCGTCGACCGAGGAGCTGGAGCTGCGCGACCCGGTGCACGAGCAGGACCTGCGCCGCGAGATGAAGAGGTCGCGCCGGAGGCACAGGCACGAGCTGCACGACGGCACCCAGTCCGAGCACGGGGTCAGCATCAAGATACAGCAGAGCGAGAGGGAGCGCAAGGACAGCAACTGCAGCGAGATCATCCTGCTGAACATCAGCGGCCGGACCTCGAGGTTGTCCTCGGTTGGTAGTCAGGGTTCCGCCGTCTCGGACAGGAACCTCTCGGTTTCGGCTGCCTCGTCTAGGTCAGTGAATCCTCATCGTTATCTGATTTAGTTTACGTCCTCCTACCACATTATATATTATATTATAAATCTCATAAAGTCTCATAAAATTTATATTCGAGAAAAAAAGAGCTGCGCTAGCTAGCCTTCGTTAAATCGAAGGTTGGATGCACCGCGGAGGATAATTTTATCTCTGAGCGCTTCGGTAAATTCATGCACGACCTTTGATGCACCCCCAGATCGCCGAGTCCGCACAAATGTCTGCTGGAGACGTCGTTCTGCGGGAGCGCCTCGACCCTCGACAACGCCATGATCGAGCCGGTGAAACCCGACACGGACGACATCGCCAAGATCCTGCTGCTGCGAGAGGCCGACTCGACCCGGGCTCTCATACCCGAGAACGTGCGTTTGCCCATTGTCGCGGGCAACATCAAGCCCGACCCTCTGGACGCTCCCAGGAGGCGTCAGGGTCGCGAGGAGAGGAAAGAGATATTCAGACGCGAGGTCGAGATCACCAAGAAGGTCCTGAAACGCGTCAATATCGACGTAAGTGCCGATTCGCTGTTGCTGCGTGCTTTTTCAGCCGACGATGAGGATGACAGCTGAATGAAGGCAAAACCGTTTGATCGACAGGTACCGATAATCAAGCTGCCCAAAGAGGCGGAAAACGGCGCCGCGGAGGCGACGGAAACGAGCTTGGTGACGCAGAAGCCACCGGCACCGGCGACTCTCAATCTTCACGAGCGTCGCAAGCGCAGCCCCAGCACGGCCTCGACCTCGTCGCGCAACCAGGAGACGCCCAAGCTGCAGAGACACGAGAAGATACGCGAGCTCGAGGGCTCGAGAACGCCCAGTCCGTCCTCCGTCTCGAGGAAGAGTAGCTTTACCTCGCTCTTCAAGGTAGTTAGGAACAAAAGCAGATAAAACGCGAATGACCGATGCAGCCCGTTGCATTGTTATGATTGTTCCGATTCTTTATATTATATTATATTTATTATTATACATTAGCGGTTTATATAGAGACAGGTCTAGGGAAAATTTTCAGTTTTACACTTTGCTATTTTCGAGCTATTGTAGTTGACACGCATGATGTTATCATTTTCTTTCGATATTTTTCTTAATATTCAACTGTATTACTTCAGGCGTAGTTTCTTACAAAACTTTCTCGTAAAATCCATGCATGATAAATTTTCCCTGGACAGATCACTGGGTCAGTTCCTAGAAATAAAATAGAAAAGAGATTTATTTTGAAAATTTTTCTGGCTGACAAAGAATTTACTATGAAAACGAAATGCCAATCAATAAAATACTGTTATACACATATAATTATATATTTACACATATCTTTTGTTGATTTTTATTTTTGACGGTCTTTTTGTTTGAGAACGTTTTTTGACAATATGTAATCAATATGATTCCAATAAAATTGTAATTACTTACAAAAAATACGATTAGACTTTGCAAAAAAACTTTTTTTACAAATTAAAGAACTCCCTTGAAAAATTGGCGAAGGTAAGCTCACAGATTTATTTGGCCAATTAAAAAATCGATTGCTCAATCATTGATTCCTGGCTCTCTCTTTGTTTAGATTTATCGTAACTGGGTGTGCTTTAAACTAAAAAATTTTTCTTTAACTCTGTATCCATGAACATTTATGAACAAGTTAGGCAAACGTTTGATATTTTTGTGTGCTTATTTGAAATTTTATTTCTGCATCAGAATCACGCATTTATTGTATTCTCAAGAAGCTGAATTGATACGATTTTTGATGATGATTACTGAAGTATCGATATTCCATGAGCTCATGGTACTCATACAATGACACAATCGATACTTCAGAGTGGACTTGATAAACTTATTACATTCATGTATTTAATTAAAAATCATAATTCACACATGATAGGCTGTATTTATGTTATTGAATATGAAGTGACACCTATCTCATCTTCTTCATGCACGTCGGTGATAAAATAGAAAGTATGTACGTGTGTGAGTGTATGAGTTATGCATGTCCATTGCAAATATTATAAATAATATATGTCGACGTCCGCAAAAAATCCCTCAGTTAAGATCGAATTTGAAAACAAATGGCTACTAAAACTGAAGTGCCATCGTATTCTAAGGGAGCTGAAATAATTATTTTTCAAATGCTGTAGGAAAATTATATGCCCACGCGTGAAAAATACTTATTCCAGCTTCCTAGCATACGGTTGGGCAGCCACTTTTAGTGGTCCCGTTAATTAAGGATTTTTCGGGGATTTCGACATATGCATGGCAGTATTTTAAACAAGCAACGTAATATTCAGCTTCTTGTTCAACAGTTATTAACCAAGTTGATCAATCAATTAACGTACTAACGATCGTTAAATTTTTCCATTGAATCGCCAAAATAGGGACGAACGGAGGGAAACGCAAGCGTTCAGGATTCACCAACGCCAGGTAGTTCGAGGCGTCCTAGTTTAGTAATGCGCCTCAAAGACACGGCTGAAAATTTGCGCAGCCGAAGCAAAAGTCGCGAACGACGTCCAAGCTCCGGATGCGGCGATCGTTCACCCAGTGCCAAGAGATCAGAGTCCCGGGGTCGCTTGGGAAGCGGTGTCTTCTCCTCGACCCTCAGTCTATTCAAAAAGAGGGAGAGAAAGAAGAGTGACGGAGGCACAAGGACACCCGATCATTTAAATGGTAGCAATGGCCATTTGGATAGTTTAGAGTATCAGTTCCGAACGGTAAAATATAGTTCTATCGATCATTTTCTACACCGAGCGTGAAAAATATTGATTAATATCGAGTTAAATTGTTCTTACAGCCAAGTCGAACTAGTCAAAACAAAGAAGACGTCATTTTCATAAGTTTATACGGAGAGAACGATGAATTCAGGTACAAAGACGAGTACCCACTGCCAGCCGAGGACGAAACGATCAAACCACTTGAGCCCGAAAGCCCATCGAAAATCTTCCAAGATGAAAACGACGATATTTCGAGTCCTCACCAGGCTACCTGTAATATTGTTTGTACCGATGTAACAATTGAACACCATAGAAAATCAAGACTAAGTAGGGACAGTATAAGAATGTCCACATCGTCGGGAGATGAGGTCAAAACGCTCGACGGTCATGCTCGAAGTTCATTAATTTCCAAGAGCGATTCCAGAGATTCCAAAATATTGACTGAAGGAAAAAAAGAATTTGCAAACAATTTTAGGCGAGTTTTGTCTTTTTCATGTGAATGTAAATGTAAATGATATGAATGAAAGCAAAACAATTTGAAATTTATTTTTACGCTTTTAGTCGCGAGGGAACTCCACCGACAGAAGAACACAAGGAAGATACCAAAAGTCAACGTATGTCAACGAGTTCATCGAAAGAGTCGATGAGTAAACGATCCGAAGCATCGAAACCAAGAAGAAAGTCTCGAAGTAGCTCGATAACGAAGCCAACGTCGGAGCCTCCACCGCCACCCAGTAAAGTTGTCGAGATCAACGGCAAAGCGCCAAAAGTTCAATCGCCACCGAGGCAAGTCGATGAGAAGCCCAAGCAAGAAGAATTGATCTTACCGGCCGAGTCATTGAAGAAAACGCCGAGCGCTGCGTCTGATTTGGACAAGAACAGCTCGGGTTCGGAGCGAGACGCCGAAATCGAGTTCGTGAAAAACAAAGGAAAGGGCGAGCGGAAAAAAGAGGTGGCCGACGAGCTGCCCGACGAACAAAAGGGCCTTTGTTACGAGGAGAGTTTCGAGGAAGATTTGCCGTACGTGCCAACGACTCTGCCGCTGGAAAAAAGCGCAGCCGTGCCTATACTGTCCGTCAAGCAGAGACTTCAAGAAGTTAAAAAGTTACTACCACGCTCACACATTTTACCATAGGAACTTTCGTTGAACTCTGTGATTAAACCGATTCTTTTTCCGCAGAACTACGCCGATCGAACGACCTCGATCCACGACTCCGATAAATCCAACGCTTCTCGACGAGTACGTCCAGCACACCCAGCAAGCGAACGAGCACCAGCAGCGAGGCGACAAGATGCGCATATCCCTGCCGCGGGAGGACAGCTTTCGACTGAAATCGCCTCACCGATCGTCCTTGACGGGCCACAACAGTTTCACGGAGTTCGCTGAGCGAGTCTCGGCCGGTACTCGCCAGCCCGGCTTCACCAAATCACCGAGTCCTCCCCCGTTGCCGCCGAGAGCGCCCACGACGAGACTGACGACGACGACTGTTCTTCCGAGCACGAACGTTGCCAGACAACAGAACTGGATCAATTTCGAGGAAATACCGGAGAAGAGAAAAGCCCCCAAGAGGATACAGACCATACCGAGGCTGGACGACGACAGATACGCGACTGGTCACGGAAGCATGGTATCTAAACCGGCCTTTCGAGGTCCAACACCACCATTGATGGACGCACTTTGGTAAAATATCGATTTTTGCGACAGGGTCAGTACAGCTACGTGCAGCCGGAGGAATGCCGCTGCGAGTGTCACGAAGAGTCGCGTCGGGCCAACTCGTTGCAGCGAGACGGAGCTCGGCATCATCATTCGTCGGGCTCTTCGTCTTCGATGGTTTGCGGCAACGGCCGATCGCGCAACAGTAACGCCTGCAACGGAGAAAATTGCCAGCAACAGACTGCCAATCCTTCCGCGGTGCAAACGGCCGAGCGAAGCAATGTCATAAGGTAACGCAAAAAGCATGGATCTAGACCATTTTTCAAATTGGACAGTGCTTTTTACGATACATGAGTTAAACCATCCTCACTTGAGTCAAACTGATTATTATATTTTTATTATTTCATAGTCATTATTAATTCTCTTCAATAGCCGATCCGATTTTTTTTCCTTTTTTCTTTCTTGGTATACTTTCGTTTCTCTAACACTAACTACTAACAGTATCTATCGATAACTTTTAATAAGTTCTTAAATGTTTATTCAATTCAAATTGTAAATACAAAATACGTTATAAACAATTTTATGTAAAAATTAAATGTTGCATGCGATTAATGAACAAATTTGACATGACTAAGCATGTAGTCGTTTGTCAACGAACACGTAGACCACAAACTTGTATTTACAAAATATAGTATAAGCTGTAGCAAAGTTGGCAATACACCGAGCACTCATACTTGAAATGAAAATGATAAGCTCTAAGACTACCTAAAACATCTGTGTCGAATCTTTCTGGGTACTCACTGTAAATGTTGTCTTGATGGAAAACTACCAGCTGTTGTGCATAGTAGTGTTAATTTAAAAAAGCTCATGCTTCATGAATTATAACATAATTTTTTCCTGTTGCATATGTATCTAAGGAGATCCACATCTTCTTCTAGTAAGTAAATTAAAAAGTAATTAATCATTAGCGAAAAAAAAGTTGATCATCAATAACAATCATAGCAAATAATTTACCATACTAAAATCTACTAACAAGCAAATTTCTCATAAGAATCAATATCATTTATATTATACGTATTAGTTTATACAACTTGATGAAAAAAAAACGTTCATCATTCAAAGTTACATTTCTAATCATGCATTTCATGATAAATAATTTTCATGCACAACGAACATTTGAGCAACCTGTTTGAAAAATGGATAAGGTCCATTGCCAATGTTTCACACAGACCAACGATAAAATGGGCCTAGGGGGGGTTAAATAGTTTGTCGACTAACCACCGAAGTTAAATAGAAATTTGTTTATCTACTTCCAGTGACGACAGCTCGCACGACGGGAGCCCGAGTATCGAATACCCGCCAGGGGGATATCCGAGGCAGCACCACCACAGGGGTTCAAAACCTTTCGAAATGGACCTCGACGTAAGCTCCAATCGGTCTAGTATCATATCTCAGGACGAAACAGAAGACTAATAAAGAGTGTAATGTGTACAAAAGTTGTAATTGGTAAACTCTTTTTTTTGGTTGGTAGCATAATTACAAATTTCGATAAAAATGTTAGACCAAAACAAAAAAAGTTTGTATTCAAAATTTATCGTTACGATACTTGGTTGATTAATTGTTGAAAACAAAATTTTTTCCCACTCTAACCTAAAATACGCAACTTTGCCGCTAATTTTAGGCTCTCGTAGGAAAAAATAGTATCTCAAACTGGTGCAGATATGGTTTTTTAACAAAACTCGTTACAGCACTCGCCTTCGGCTCGTGCTATAATCCCTCGTTTTGCTAAAAAACCATATGTGCACCCGTTGAGAAATATACTATATGTAACATTTTTCCGCGTTAACCCCTGTATGATACTATTTTTAAAAGAATTGAGTATCTAGAAGACAATATTAAGACTCGATTCCATTACAAACTATCACTCGGTTTGATATTCATGTTGACCTTGATTGTTTTATCAATTTTCATGTCCTTTTAATTTTTAGACAACTTTAAATTTTGGCAAAATGAAATTTTAAAACGAGTGACGTGCCCTTGGAAATTTTCCATAAAAAATTGTTCAAATTTGGACACTGTTGATATTGAATTAAAACTCCTTATTATAAAATGAGGAAATTAAAAAATGTATTTGTATGGCATTTGAAATAAAATGAAGAGAATCATTTGATAAGCCATGAAATGATCATATAGTCAAATGATTTAGATGTAAAAAGTGTAGGTAGTTGATTATTAAGATAAGTTAGTTACTTTAAAATTAAAAACAATCGAGACTTTGTTTAAAATAAGTTATCGACACTTGTTATGATTGAAATATAATCGTTAACTAGACAGATATCAAATGCATTAATCATGTACTTCGTTATTGAAATTGAAAAAAATGACTGATTTTGCGCTTTTTAAAGAATTCACTGAAAACTAAATCATTAACGTCATTAATACAATGTCCGTTCGTAAAAAAGACTATTACCATTTTAAATTATTGTATTAAAAAAAATCAAATAAATTTTATTAACATTTATAAAAAAATACTGTTGGCGATGATAAGACTCGGTTGTAAAATTTTATAGTACTATTGATACTTTGTGTCCACACCTAAATAATTCTGTTGAGGATCGTGATTCAGTACTTAATTGTTAATTTTACATGTGACTGACAAACAAACCCTGATTTACACTGTCACGCTATGCATTTGAAGAAATAAATTATATCATAATATTTAACTTTCTTTTTGATCTAATCAACTTGACGCTAAATTTTAAATTATTTATTTCATTTTTATCTTGAAGTGCAATAGAAATAAAATTTTTTTATCTGAAATTTTTAAGGAATATTTTTCTTTTAAAGTAATGTGAATTTTTGGACTTTACTGAAAAATGCATCCACAAAGCTTTTAAATTTGTGCTTGTAAATTTTCATTCTTCCAATAGTTTAGTTATTTTTTTAAAATTTCCTCTTTATTGCGATTTTTTCTACCTAATAGCTTTTGAATTATCACCTTATTTCAAAAATTATTACGAGAAAAACATGTTTAAACATCAACGCTGCCGCAACTACGGTACATGAGTTGGGTGTCTAGAATTGTAATTAATTTAAGAACGTTAATCCAAAAGATTTTACAGCTTCAAATTGTCAGTACATTTTTAAGAAAAAATTTTTAAAATAATGTCCCCATTGTCGTTATTTCGTATTTGAACTTGTATTTTTACATGAAATATAAACTTTTAGATAAAGAATCGAATTTTTATACAACTCAACAGAATATTTGATTTTTTCGCCAACATATATATGTGTTATCATATATTTTTAAAGACTTGCCGTATTGCTCATCGTATTTAAGACTTTTTACAAACGAGAACATTGAACTTATATAATGATGTTGAAAATGTTGTAAACTGCCATCAATAAAAATAAGCATTTTGTGTTTGCAGTAATAATTCTCTTGTACGTTTATTAATTAGAGATTTTTAAATGTGGTAAAATATGAAAATTTATATTGTTCATCCAAGGAGTTTAATGATGTACTGTATTTTATCGGTTTGCCTTAATTTTTTGTGAATTACAGTTATATAAAAAAATATGAACTAGTAAAAAAAGATAATACATCAAGGATACACGATATTCAGATTTTAACAGCAAGTTTGTAATAACTACCTCATACATTTTTCTGAAAAAATTTAGTAAAAGTTAATAAAAATACTTTTACATTAAATTTTTTTATGATTTTAACATGACCTAGATATATTCAAATTAAGCAATGTTCTATAATAATTTGTAACAATTATCATGAAGTAAAATTATTTCATCAATATATTATTTATAAAGTCGATTTCTGTTTAGAGCATCGAAAAGAGAACATACCATTTTTATAGAAAAAACTTCGATACAAGCTATATATGTACTATATAAATATTACTCCATAATATTTTTCAAAGGAATGGTAATTTAGACTTGCGGCAATAAAAGATTAGTGATCATTCATTGACACGAGGGTTTAGCTTGGAAAATCATAGATCAATACTTGTTACTGAATCCTAAGAGAATGTTGTGTAAAATGTATTAATTATTGAAGTTAAATTAGATGATTTATATGCATGTACATACGAAACTGTTATTCATGAGAGGAAGATATTTGATTTGCAAAAAATTTTATTTTTCGTATAAAATAATGTATTGAATGCTACAAATTATATTTTAAGTGGAATTTCTTTTTCAGAAAGTGTTCATAATATCTAGAATTTTATTTAGTAAAATACAAGAATAGGTAATCATGTACATGTAATATTTTGTATAGATAATAAACGCTTTTGTTATGTAATTTCAAAAAAAAGTTGATCAAAAAGTAGCGTATACTTGAAAAATCTAGAAAATGAAATCGTTAGTGACTTGATTTTTAATGTAAATTTTATTAACTATAATAAATTTACCTTCACATGAAAAAATATATTCGTTACTATTTATAAAAAGTTGATAAGCAGAATAATTCAAAATGAACATCTAAATGTACTTTTTTGAATCAACAAAGTATCAGAATACAAAAATGATTATAATGTATACTTATCTTTAGGTATGTATGAAATGATCAATCAAAGCATAATGAAAAACACTTCATGTTATCAATGGTAGTATAAAAATTAATTTTCAACTTCTTTGTCTTGCCATTTACAATTTAGAGATGATAACAATGAAAATGATTCTGTCTTATAAAAATAAAAAATTTAGAAATTATTGTGATTTTGTTACACTGGTATACATTGTATTTTAATAGCGGCTTTTCCCCTTTTTATAATAGCAAATAATATAAAAATTAGTCACATTATCTTTAAGTATATAGGTACTAGAGTTAAAGCAATTTTTTGGCATATAATTTTTGCCTTTTCCGCCAATTGGTTGAGTACCTTAAAATCTGATGCATCTTGAAATGGGACCTCAAATCGTAGAATAAAGAACCAATCTAGTCTGTTTAAAGTAAAAATACCAATTTTGTAAATTAAATTATATTCTTAATATTTTTTCAAGAAAATAAGTAGATTCAAAGTAATGCTGTCGGTTTCCAAAATTATGAAAATGAAATTATGATTAAATTGATATTTGGAATCAAATGCCACATAAAGGATTGATAGCATAATCAAGTTTAGCCAAGAGTTATAAAATTTGTATTAAACAAATTATTTGGTATTTTTACAAAAATAGGCAAAAATGGTCATTTGTTTGTGTGTTGAAATCCCATAATGTGTTGCGTTGAATTTTTTAGGATACTAAGCCAAGAAGAGTCAGACTGAGAATAATATCACTACAGAGTATTAATTTTAATGGTTAAGGAACCCGGGAAACTAATGTACCGAACCCCACCAAATTTTTCGAATTTTATAAAAAAAACTTTTTTTTTCGAAATTTTCCATAAAACTAACCGTAATAGCACGAATGCGATGTATAAAGAAAAGACGCCTCCGCCCCGAGCAATACTATAGCATCCGTACATATTATTTTGAAAAGCATTAGTATAATGAGATGCTACGCATTAATTACAAATAATATAGGGTCAGAAAAGAAAAGATTACCAAAGAAATATTTAAGTGTTTCTAATAATGTTATGTACATATAAAGATGACTTTCCATGTGAGAGCTAAAAGAAAGAAAAGAGTAAATACTTTTTTCGAGTGCTAAATAATATTATGCGATATGATTGAAATCTTCACGTTTAAAAAAATAATAAAATATTAATGTGTTTTATTCGATGGGCTTTTATTTAATTTTTCTCACGAAAGTAAAATTTTTCTAAAAATAAACTTTTCCTTTAGTTCGAAGTAATTTTCATCCGAGCATGGATTTGTTCTTGTTCAGTTGTTACCGATTCTTCGGTAAAATCTGTGTCTCCAACTTCCACACTGTGTTCTTCATCTTGTCGAGATGTCAAAGATATCGGCTCAACTTCATCGCGCAGAAAAATTGTAGTCTGCGTCGTTGTTTCATTGATATTGTTCTCCATCAACGATTGCTTTGGAATTTTTCTCAAGGTTATTTGTTAATTTCACAATTTCTTTAATACTATTATAATTTACCTGCATGACATTAACGAGAAATAGAAAAGCCAATAAGGTTAATGCACTAAGAGCCGCGCCACTATTTCCACCACCTCCACCTTTGCCTTTCCACCTGCGAATTTTTTAAATTGGAATCATTCAAAAAAAACGAATAAAAAATGAGTGTCTCACCCATGCGATGACTCATAATGTCCAGGATGGTAACGTTCAACCGGTTGCATCGCTGATGCGTCGTGAAATTTATTTATCAACGCTTTGAACGTCATTTCGTGCACTGCGACAACCGCTTAGGTTGAGATCAAAAAACGAACTGATGATTTTTTCTGGCGGTCGATGCTGTTGTCGTTGTTGTTATACAGATAAGCATCAGAGCGTGAAATTTTTACGGTTTATTCGGAAGCTTCCGCGCTGGACAATTATAGCAACAACTAGTGATTATTATACGCTGCATGTCGCGCGTGCGAAACTTTTTAGGGTATGAAGTTTATTGTGCTTACGTATAATAATGGGATAGTGACATGCGTACCTACCGGTAAGCTCGAACCAGTGCATAACGTTAGTATTTAAAAATGAACAATTTTATTTATGAAAAATGCCATTGATTTATTTTTTCATGCAACTTATACATATTAATAAACTGTCGAATAAACTGTTAAATCAATGTTTTTTTTTTTCATTTATTCTAATAAATTTTGAACCTCTATTTATTTTTGATAAAGGATTTTTATTCTCTGAATAAATTAATTAATTTTATGATTCGAATCAAAAAAATTAGAAAAACTGCGGTTTAAAAAAATAAAGAAGTATTCAAATATTCATGGTTTCAACCAGCGTAAATATTTAGCTTGATTTTTATAATAATAATTTCGGAAAATTTTCAATTAATAAGTTTTAATAAGTTTTAATACTCCTAAATAATAGATGATAAGTTCGTACTGTTTTAAAATTAAGTATTTTATCAGAACTTTAGTGTAAAAATATTACCAAACTTTACACCATACTCTTATTTTAATGTATAATTTAATATAATTTGATACAATATAATTAATTATTATAATGATCTCGGGAAACTGTAATTAAATTCTTCTTCTATTTTACTATTAAGCTAGAAACTAACGCCAGTGCAATTAGCTCGTCAATTATTTCCTATATATAGTATTAGTTTCCTGTAAGTACCTTGTATTGAAATTTAAAATTACTGCTCAGAGGAAAATTCCATATGAAAATGATCCACACTTTAAGAAAACTCTGCGATACCAGAAACTGCGACTAATGACTCGGAAAAAGGGTCATAAATATGAACTTAGCACAGTGTTATAAAATTTAGTATGATACTCGTGCCATAAAGAACACCTTCTGAAGCCGCTATTAAGACCATCGCTGCGTTCGGGCCTTAAACTATACGCCCTACATTTTATTAATCCTTAATAATTTATTCTTGAAATAAAAGAGCCAGGTAAAATGAAAAATTGTCCAATTGGTGGTATTAACTTTTTTTATTCAATTTTTATTAATAAATAATAACATCATATCTCAACACATACACGTACAATTACACTTTATAATTATAATAGTAAAAATATACTTGATTTTATAACATACAATTCCAGTCATGCACAAAATTTATTCTGTATGCCTCTATATACACATTTAATCTTGAGTATCGATGAATCGATTTATTAAGTAACTGTGAAAGTAATGCAATACTCCAGAAGAAAATTGACATCTTTATAATGTCTAACGGAAATATTATTACAGCTTTCACAATAATTTAAATTTGAAAATCAATAATTAAGATAAATTTATAAATAAATCTATACTCGTTGAACAACTATAAATAAATAAACTCGTTGTTTTTGACTCTTGTCAAAACTCTAGCAAAGACTTAGATTTTCTAAGCTCTAAGTTTCCAGAGTTTTGTTCAGTCTATATTTTTTCAAATAAATGCAAAAATTTAATACTAAGATTGTTTAAATCGCACAAATGAAAAAAATGTCGTTTAAATGAGATGTCACGTTTACATAAATATAAAAATCTAGAAAATGAAGTTGATGAAGTTAATATACTTGGGAAAAATACCGAAATTATTTTTTCCCCGCATACAACAATGACGATGAAAATTTTTTTCACAATGAAAGGTATTAAACGGCGTTACAATCGAGGAATAGTGTTCGACAGTCCTCGCCACTTCGACCTCTTCGACCTGCGTCGTAAAGAGCTTCAAAACCAACTCCGCTCTGTCGCTGAAGCATGTAACTCGTTGCGTATCTAAAAATAAAAAAAAACGATGAATAAATTATTGCGATGAAGAAGAAGGAAAAATTGGCAATCTTACGATCCAAGTTGACAGAAGATCGAGGTGTTTCCATGGGTATCAGCTGCACATTCGGCGCTTGCTTCACAGAGAGCACGTTCGGCACATCCCCGTTGACCCTCTTCCTCTTTACGCCCGTAGCCGCTAAAGGCTTTCATTGACCTTACGTAACCCTGCGGACCGATGCAAGTCAACGAGGTTAACAGAAATTATCAATAAAGTTATTATTTTAAAAAATAGGCCGTACCTTGAGCATAGTTATTGACGCAGCTGCTGCTTCGGAGACTGTGTCCTTCCTTCCGAGCGATCGAGCCTGGAGAGAACGATGCGAGAAGGACGTTTTCAGAGCGTCCAACAGATTGATGACTATATGGATGAACTGCTTGGGGAACGATTTATATCGTTTTATTTTTTTATTTCTTTAATTTGTTATCGAGTCGAGTGAGTTAAGTTGTCGTCGTTAAGTTGCGACTGTCAGTTTGTGTTACTACCGTCGTTCGTCACAAAAAAAAAAAAAAAAAAAAAAAAAAAAAAAAAAAAAAAAAAAAAAAAAAAAAAAAAAAAAAAAAAAAAAAAAAAAAAAAAAAAAAAAAAAAAAAAAAAAAAAAAAAAAAAAAAAAAAAAAAAAAAAAAAAAAAAAAAAAAAAAAAAAAAAAAAAAAAAAAAAAAAAAAAAAAAAAAAAAAAAAAAAAAAAAAAAAAAAAAAAAAAAAAAAAAAAAAAAAAAAAAAAAAAAAAAAAAAAAAAAAAAAAAAAAAAAAAAAAAAATGAAAAAATTGTCAAAACGAGGCTAAGGAAAAGAAATTATGTACACTACAATTATGATACATTATGCATATTACTCAATTTTCCTTTGCTAAGATGACAAAATATCTACGAACGCAAAAAAATAAACAAGGAATCATTTTCTACATCCTTTCTTTCTTAAACTGACGCAAGAGGCATTCAATATACACATTATTACGACGGAGACGGACACTTGAAATAATTATACTAGTTACAAAAAAAAAAGAAAAAAAAAATAACGCACAAACCTTTGACATTTCGCCATTGTGTGTTGTGTATGTATAAGTGTGTGTTACAAACAAAAAGTAAAGAAGAAGTTCATCGTGTGCGTAAGTACACTAACTACTGACCTCACTCGCTTGGTTGGCTATCGTAGCCACCTGATCTGGATTCCTTCCCTGTCCCAGAAACGCGCCCAGCACCATTCTCAATATATTGCTCGACAATTCCTAATTTTTGACGGGAAATCACATTCATACTTAGGTAATTTTATATTTACATATTATTTTAAAAAGTTACTATTCACTTATTTACTAGTTCTTTTATTTTATTTACATATTACTAATTATTTATTTTTTAAATATTAATGAACAATATAAAGTGTTTTCTTGTAAGATTTAAAATACTTTGCATGCTTTTTTATCAATTAGGTTTTTGTATTATCTTGTTACTTTAATCATAAATATGAATTAGAGAAAATACATAAACGAGGCAATTTTTACATGAAATTTTTATATGAGAAATAAGATAAGTTAATATAGTACGTGCAAAAATAGTAAATAGGTCTAGTGCAGTCAGGAAAGAAAAGACTTGAATATTTAACGATGCTATAAGAATAAGCTAGACGTAATATACTCTTAAGATGTTCTTTACTTCTTTACTCTCTAATTCCATGTTCTAACTAATAATATTTTGCTCTCAACGGGAAGTGGTTTTAAGGATCAAATTTCATTTAATGTAAAATAAATTACGATAATAAAAAGTAAGATCATCAGGGAGACTAAGGTACCTGCATAGGACTGGCGGCTCCATTGTCAACCTTATCGATGCCGTCGCCCTGCTGCTGAGGTCCTCCAAGGAGCGCCGTTAGTACTCTCAATCCCACGGACAAGAAGTTGGCCCAAGGGCTCGAGGGCACGCCCTCGTCGATGTCGTTTTTGCTGGGACCGGCGACGGCGCCTCCTTGACCGAGCAGCATCTGCATCAGCATTCCGAGCACACTGCCCCAAGAGAAACCGTTTCCGCCGCTCTCCTGCGACAAAAAAAAGAAGCCACGCGTTGTTCCTCTTTTTTCCTCTGATGTTTCAATGAACCTCATCAGCATGGCGCGTGAAACAAAAACAGGACGAAATCGTTTTGCCCGGTAAAAGCAATGCACATCGCTGAGAAAGTAAGCACGCGTATCGGAAAGAAGAAAGCAAAGGTAGAATCGGTTTTCGCTTTTTTGTGTACAAAGAGCGATTTCATCCTCGGCATACTTTGTATTCATATTTATAAACGCGCGCGAGTAAGTATGTATTTTCTTTTTTTTTTCCTTTAAGTAAATGAAATATTTACTTGAATGGAATTAGTGCTGATATCTTCAATGTCATCGAGCGGTACCTTCTTCGATGCGTTTGGCTTCTCTGCGAATTTTCGGGCCGAGGCCTCGATCGATTTCTGCAGCTGCTGATTTTGCTGCTGCACGAGCTGCGGCAGCGCCAGAGTCTGACCCATCACCAACGCCATCAGGCACAGAGCGTACAATTTCTTATTCTCCATGTTTGACGTATCTGTTGCAAAAAAGGGGGAAAAAAAACACAAAAAATGAAGAAAATGATACTCGCGTGACGTAAATTGACTTTACGACGACTTTCTCCCCTCTGAGCGCAATAATATACAATGCTCGGGTGCACGCGAAATTGTTGCCTGGCTAACGCGCGCGCGATACTGTCTGCCTACATAGGATCGTTACTTTTCTCTTAGTTTACATTGGCAACTAGACCGCGTGTGTGTCGCGAAAGTGTTACGCATTTCTTTTCTTTCCTCCTCGTTACGGAGCGAGCTCCGCGAGCGAACAAAATATCACCGGTGCGCCAACAACAATGTAGTTATTTTTTTGCATGCACGCGCAGAGACGATCATTGCGAGTGTAAATCGAATGGGCCCGTAGAACGCATACATAACGACGCCAACAGGAAACGGCACTGCGTCGACGTCATGGATTTTCTCGTTGGAATAACAAACCGATAATTTGTTTGCGATCGTATTTTAGCCAGGCACTTGTTACCGATCGATATATACGCGCGCAGGCAAAAACCTTGACCATGAAAGTGGGTCGCGCGAGCTTCGGCAGTCGCGCGCGCAGGAGACTGCCGCTGCTGCAGCGCGCGAGCATAGCCCACTTCTCTCTCTCTCTCTCTCTCTCTCTCTCTCTCTCTCTCGGCGCGGCTATGGGTTTCTTGACCCACGCAGCCGCGAGTATATACTCGCAAGGAGACACCGTTATAAGTCCGTATGTTCAAAAGCGGTCACGACCTACTGCTGTTTTGCAAAAATTCACCATCAATTTTGCACATTAGTTTCTTATATTTTCCCGCATATAATAGATTCGGTTTTAAACGCATAACTCCTGTTTTTCCTCGCAGTGCTCGACGAGCAGAACATAATACATGAAATGTTGATGAGGCCTCTCGTAGATTTCAACTTTCTAAAGGATCGCTCTAAAAGAGCCCATTTTCGTGAAAATAATTAAACGAATGTCGAACAACAAATAACAACACCTCTATCAACATTTCACGCAACTAACTCTCACAAATTTTTTGTATGTAAAAAATAAGAACACGTATTTTTTTAATCGCTGCGAAAAAAAAAGAAAAAAAGAATTTAAACGCGCGAGCCGCATCACTATCAAGTTGACAACACATGCACCCATCATCACTATATATTATTAATTGTATTCACTATCGGCAAATTATCAATGCAAAAACTCACTATTTTCCACTTGTAAAAATCGAACTTGTGCGTGAAACGATATCTCGTGCGCTTCTGAAAGACGAAATTGCCGCGCGGTGCTTCTTATAGTTTTCCCTCCTATGTATGGTGTATTCCGAGCGCTGCATGAGGCCCGTTACAAGAGTGGGGCTCGCGTATCTCGCTGCTGCTGCTGCGCTGCTTCGGGTTTTATTTTTATCGGGCCCGTCACGACGAAGCAGCCCGTGCATCTCGCTCGGTGTCATCGATTAAGGAAGCCGGATAATTATGCGGTATACGCGACGAGACACTCGTTCGCAATTATTTAAATCATTATGCCACGATGAGCCGATTGAAACGCCAAACGATGAACCTATGCCACGAGCTACTAATAAAATGAGTCAAAATTAAGTGAGAAAAATATGTGAGCCCGTCGAATGTCGCTTAAAAGCAGGAAATACCATTGAGAAGCATCGAGCCTTGCGGCTGCGATGCGAGTATACGTAAATCGCGCGCATTTAATACCGTTGCTCCGATCGCAGGTGAATTTCGTTTTCTTTTTGTTAAGTCCGTCTGAGGCACTGCGCATCGAACCAGTTCTGCAGCATTTTTCCAGCCTGTGGAACCTTCCATGGAAGAAAAGTACGTTGCGTAAGAGGGAAAAAGTGCACACGATTGCTCTGAATCTTTTTTTCGTGCACCCGTCCGACCCGACAGTAATTCCATGCACACATTTTTAAAAAGCTCAACGCAAGAGCGACAAACAATGTCTGATCGGAACGTAATCTCATAAGATGCGCTCAATAAACGTACAACATTTTATTCTCTGATACAGTGACATCACATATTATTCAGACGACCGCACGGGGATTGCATGGGATACAGGGCAATCGGGACCGGTGTTTTTGATTCAAGTACACTGTATGATCATATCATATATTGCAGTCATTCGTCGTGGCAACTGCACCTAACGTAATTATCCGTGCCACTAAAAAGTGTAATTTCACAAACGTATTTGCGACAAAAAATTTGCTGCTTAACATATAGATATCCGTACTCTTGTTTTGTAATGGAAAACGGCATAGCGTGCGTGTGTTGAACCAAGTATGTAACATCATAACGGTTCGGCATTTTAGAAGCATAGGAGAAAAAAAAACGAGGCGAGCATAATTCTCATCCGAGTGTGAAAATGAAAATAATGAGAAGCAAAGTAGGTTCTGTTGATTTCCTTAACTAAACTGTTAAAACTATCGATAAATGATTGCTAATTGTGTTTTAGTGGTAATTATCCATATACACTCATCTGGGTGGCCAAAATAAAGCGATTAGGTTGAAAATATTGCTATAGCTCTGATTGCGATTAAAAATGATTAAAATCTGTACAGACGCATTAAAATACGTACATTAGGATAATTTGGAAGTGTTGGTTGCGTGCTCGGAATATAATTAAATAAATAAATGTGATTTGGCGCTAATTAAAATCTCGCGTACTATACTCGGCATGGCGCGCGTATCGATCAAGAAAAGTCATAATTTTCTGAAGATCTTTCCGGGAAGGTAGGAGCGCGCGCTGGTGCGTATGGTGATTAGCGCGCGGCGCGAGGCGCCTCGAAATTAACACGTGCCAGGCAGCAGCAGCAGCATCCCGCTATGCTCTATACGCGCTCGACGAGCGAAACAGTTACGATGTATCGTCGAGTTGCGCGTTGCGTAAAACTGCCTATCCTATAATACGGCGATGCACTCGGGCCTCGCTCGCGGTCGTTCACCAAGACCAAAAGCAAAAAGGGGAGATGGAAAATTTTGCGCACGAGGCTCGAAAGGGAAATTCGTATGGGCGCGCGCGAGGCCTACCGAGCTGCCCAGTTCCGTGACTGATTTTCCATTTGTCATTTGACGCTCATAGCTCCGCGCCGTGGTCGCATTTTCTCCAAATCGTCTTTTCCCATAAAACATCGCTTGGGACGAATACAAGCGCGCGGCGCGCAGCTCGTGTACGCGAGGTATACCGCAAGCTCGCAGGTAACATCTGATATAAGTTAATCGTTCAAAAAATCGATTCTATATCTCGCTTACGAGTCGCGGAAGCAATTTCGCAGTGCAGCGTCTCTGTGTAACGGGATCGCTCCAGCATTCGTTTTCTTCGCTGCTTCTGCTGCTGCTATTGCTGCGTGCGTATGTTGCTATTCGCGATCTGCTCGCAGAGTCTGCAACGACCTTCACAACTGCACACACACACACACACACACACACACACACACACACACACACATTATACATATATACAAGGCTCGCACTCGCTTGTAGCGGGATTTTCGAAACTATGTTTGCTTCGACGAGCGCCTATAGCTATACACGTAATCAATCGGAAAATCGATCAGAGCCAGCAGGAAATCAATCGCTTTTCACGCAGAATGCACATACCGAGTAAAAATCCTGCCACCTATTTATTGATATCAATCATGCTCGTATCGATCCACGCGAGTAGCTCTCTCGGCGTTTCCAATGAAATAATGCCTAACCTCGTTGGAGCTATGCAGATTTACGCGCAGAGACGTTCGAGCGCACTCGCAGCTGAGAAAAGATGTCGTTCGATGACCATCGCGCCTTTTAATCAATCAAAGAAAATGCTGCCTTTTTATTCTAGACAGTATGATAAGTATACGCAAATCTGTACAATTCCGCCAATTCGTATGAATTGCCAATAAGAAAAAAAAACAGATGTTATAGCTGTATGACAAATACAAATGGGATGTATGGCTAATAATTGGCTGCACCGTTATCGGTTTACCATCGGAGCTCTCGTACGTGTGTGCTCGTGTTGATATTATTATAGCATACACACGCGAAATGTAGGTGTACGGTTGTCGTAATCGTGGAAAGGCAATTGTGCCGGCACACAAATACGTAAACAGTATATGGAACCTCGCCATTGCCAGTACTTTTCCCAAGGTGTAAACTGGGTCGAAAAATTATGCGATATTAGAACAATAATTCGCCGCTCCCAATTAATGCGCACATCCATTCATCCATATGCGGAACAGTCGCGAACTGCGGCGACTGTACAGCGACGACGATCGCCGTCGTTTTAAGTATATACGGGCCGAGCGCTGATACAGCTATTCGACACAGAATGAGCCTGCGTATATGAGCAGATCCACATTTCACCCTGAAAACTATTGGCCATGAAATCGTATCCAAAAAATTGCGACTAACGACCTTTGGCATATTTTTCTTATGCGTCTCAGAAGTATGGAAAAATACGTAAACATCACGTTTTCATGCTAGAGTAACGCATGCGGTATTGCGATGTAACGACTCAAGACTATGCTCTTACTTTCCTCTTGACTTCTTAATTCGAATCAATTTGCTAAGCTTTATAAAAATTACACTTGATTTAAATAATTTATGTTTTGACGTAAGTATAAAAGGATCCTGGCGCATCGACAACACATTTGTTGGAAAACTATTAGTATGTTGATATGACTGTGTACTACGGTCTCATGTTGCTGTTGCGAATTTAATATTGGATCGAGCTCGATTTTATTATTAATTCAAGTAAACATGATTTCGAAGTAAAAATAACTCGAATGTCATTTTCAAATTGAAATTAAATTTTTTGACTTCTATATTTTGATAATTATTTTTAACAAACAAGAGCTTTAGTCGAATTTGAATGAAAAAGTAAAAATTTCATTGGTATAATTTTTTGCTTTATTTACCGTCATGCTATAATGATAGTAACGTTAGCTGAACATGAATGGAATATGGATGAACGGTCTTGGATATTAGAAAAATCACTATCGAGTTATTAGGAGTTCACTCACTTTTTCATGTTTCTGGAATCTAAAAAAAACAATTCTCCAAGCTTATAAATATGTTTCAGTTTGAGAAGATGTTTGAGCTCGATTTCGAGCATTAGTTTTCAGAATGAAATGTGGATTGGCTCATATATGCATGCGTGTGTATATGCTTGTGGAGATGGCCGATCAGTGTACGTAGCGGTACTCCACAAGCCATCCATACACCTGCAGGTATTAACAAAAGGCAGTTCTTATCTTGTTGGTTGTGCATATGACGACGTTGTACCAAGAGTATTTTGATCAAGTTCGACTAAAGAAAGGACAAGTTTTCTGGGTGAAGGTTAAAGCCACCGATCAATGACCACGCCAATTCTCGCAGTGACGAAACTCGACTTCCGATGAATGCCCCAATTTTGCCTTTGCATTTTCCTTATTAATGTACACGAAGCTGATATAACTTATTACTTTTAAAAAGAAAGTTTCTAAAAATGAATACAGCACGTCACGTAATAGTGTGATCTAATTAACACGAGCCTCGAATGAGACTCGAATAGCTCTGATGAAGAGACCGTGACATTTTTGTTCGAGGATGAAACAAAGGAAAGCAAAAGTTATTATTGTGTATAATTAAAATCCTTTCGAAATTGAAATTTAAAAGGATACGAGAGAGTTTCTCCAAAAATATACCACACGGCGATGACGAGTAATTTTCAAGGATGAAGGAAACAGCCGTATTGGAAAGCAGCAAGGATCTAAATTTTTAATGAACAAGCAAGGATTATGCGATTCCATAACGAGACTCGCTTGAGAAGTGCCTGAAAAACCATATAAAATGCATTGTCATTTAAATAGGATCCGTCGATGTTTATTCAGAATGCGGATTAGCGGGCGCTGAGAAAAAACTCAATAAACACAAGGCGGTGGCAGGAGCAGTATCCACGGCGAGCTAGAGAAAAAAAAAAAGGAAATTTTTCAAGTACGAGTGACGTAGAAAGGCGTGACCTGCATAGGAATGCAGCGAAGATTTTACTCTCTTGCAATGTATCAGTAAAGGACGACGCGCAACGGTACAAGCAATCTACTCGGGCGTGTACACGTGTAGCAGCTCAACGTTCGCGAACAGTTGTTTCGATCATGTGCGAATGAATTTTCGGCGAGCGTGCACAAGTTCTCAGGCTAAGGAGATGCTAACACGAATAGATTTACCCATGAAAAATAAATTCGTTATTGAACCGAGAAAGAAAGAAAAAGAAAAAAAAAATTGATTCAATCATCGGTTTAGTCCATTATCATCACTTTCACTCTTGTACGATCGCGAAATAAATAACGTCGAAAAATGGCATCAAGAGCAAAAGGACTGCGTTAGCTATCTGTATGACGTGCTCCTTTTTTATCATTTCATCTATCCGGGATCTGTCGTAAATGCATTATTAGACAGGCTATAAGGTCAAACGCTGAAACTTTCTTCCCTTTAAAAAATAAACAACAGAGTCAGGCTCTTACGGACGTCATTCGACCGCTTCCGGTTTCCTTTTTATCTTTGCTCTGCGCCTCGAGCGCCAACGTTTTACTTTCGCACCATTATAATACTGCCCTGCTCTCCGCGAGTATTATATATGATTGTCGGAAGCTCGAGCAGCGCTCGCGGGTCAAAACACACTTTTCTTTGTTTCTCACGCGTGAATGGGATTAGTGGAATAGAAATCTACGATTTTTGCGTACAGGTGTACTCGTTGAAAATCAATGAGCTCTGCTAGAGTATATCGGTAGTAGTAGTAAGCCACTCGAGCAACAATTGCGCGGCAAATTTCATCCTCCCCTCTTCTAATCGGGTGGAAGGGGCTGAAACTTAACGTACGACATCGCATCGGAATATATTGTGTACTATGAGCGTATGTATGCATAATAGAGGCGATGCAAATGCGCTTCTCTTTGCTTACGATCTTTCTCGCTCTCCATAACTCGGCCCTTATGAGCTTATACGTATTATCGATTCGTCAGCATAGAGAAGAAACTATAATAGGCATGCGATGCTGCTGCGACGCCTATATAGGCTGGCATGACCTATTTACAACGATGCGCTGCCGCTGCTGCTGCTGATGCTGCAGGGCAGCAATCGTGTGCCAAGACCTTATATATACCTGCTGCTCTTTTTTTTTCTGTGCGCCATTCCGAGTCGGGTCGTTGACCCAACGTGTATATTGAATTAGCCTTTTTTTTTGCTCGCTACTCGTAAAGTGGGCCGAGAGAATGACTACTCGCTTTGCGCGGAAAAGACTTATTACGAGTACAGACAATCCAAGATTTGGAGTGGAGATTAATCGCTCTCAATGAGTTCGCATAACAATTGAACGAGGAAGGCCGCGAAATTTCAAAATATATGACCAAACGGATCAGACTGCGATGGCCAGCGGACGAAATGTTCGTCAATAGTCACGGACTAGTGCGGAGATCATAGATAAATGGAATAGCGATGTCGCTGAAGAAGGAGTTGCAAAATTTGGGCTGCAGCTCGTGTGGCAAGCCAACCAAGCTCACCCCGGCGCCGAATCTCGAGAGCATCGTCGACAACAGAGTCGATAATCCCGTGCAGTTTTTTCGAGTCGGAAAGGTTAGATTCGCGACCGCTTTGTTATTGTACAGTGAGTGACGTAATTTTTTTCATCGCGCAGAAACGCGACGAGGAGGCGGCGGCCTTTCTGCAGGATGAGGCTGCCCGCCAGCACGCCAAGAGATTGGAAAAATTACGAAAGGAGGGAAAGAAAAAAGTATGCCTCATCAGCAAGCAGCAGGCGGATTGCCTGGAGAGACTGAGGAAATTCGCCGAGAGTGCGCCCGTGACTGGACTGCTTCCAGTGAGTTTTTTCCTCCAACGCTAGTACATCAGCAGCGAGCCCGCAAGATGATGCGTTATTTTTTTCACGTGCACGATCTTGTTTCGTTGAAAATCCGTCGCGTCGCGTCGTCCAGGCTCTTTGTTTCTGTAGCTCCGTCCGAGCTTGAGAACTGTATAAATACTGAATTTTCAGTAGGACTGGGAAAACGCCATGCGCAATACCATATCGCAGAGTCTGCGGGAGAAATTCCAAGATCTGCTCGAGGCCCAGATGAACGAGATCAAGGAGCGCTACTACGACGATATGCGCAGATTGAGCTTGCGGTGCATTTTGAACGACGGCTCGGGCGACTGTCTCGGCTTCAAGGATCCACCCTTCAAGCTCAAGGGAAAGACCGACAATTATCCGAAATTTTTATCCAACATGCACCTCTTGGAGTCTCGATTTTTTCTCTGGCATAAAGTGCTCAGGACGTTGCTGTCGAAATCCATCAGCAGAATGCCCGAGTACTTTGTCGATTTTAGCACGTACCGCGACAAGGGATTCGTCGAGTTCAAAGAGTAAGTCTCGATCGATTTTCCTTCTGGTCCCTTGAAAACTCGAAAACTGAGCTCGGAAAATTTAGTTTCGTCGAGATGAGCGACGACGACATGAAGAAAGGTACGGTACAGATATCAAAGTACTACCACGCCGACGCGAGCAGGCTCATGAGTCCGAAATCGCGAGCTTATCGAGATGTGCCGTTCAACAAGCTGTCGTCGTTTATCCGATGTTGCGATCGGTTTTTCGCGCTCAAACTCGTCGAGCGCATGGACGCGACGATGGATCGCTTGCTCGACGTCATGCGAGACCCTATGAAATCTCCGTTACTCGGGGTTAGTTATCTATACGGCAATAATAAACGGTCTTCCCAAATGATTATCCGATAAGTGTGTGTGTGTGTGTGTTTTTTTTCACGACACTAGTTGACGCTCAAGTGCGAGAATAACGACCTGTTCGTGAGCCCACCGATGCCAGAAGTCAAAGAGGTTTTTCACTCGCTACTCGAGCGAATCGGGCAATTGGCTCGCGACTTGCCGTCGATGGAGGTAGCGGCGAAAGTCAAGTTCGACGCTCGGGCCGCCGATTATCCCGAGTGGCGGATTCACGAGAAGCATCGCAAGCTCGCGGAGCTGCTCGACGCGGCCTACGCGCCCCTGGAGAAGTACGTCGAGGCCGTGCGGGAAAAGTTCAAAGGCGTCTTCGACGTCAAGGCCCAGGACGCGCAAGTCGAGAGCATCGTCGAGAGCAAGGACTTCAAGAGCTGCCTCAAGCAGTTCGAGAGATTCAACCGCTCGGTGGCCGATGTACACGGTATGGTGAGTGCACGACGAACGACCGATTGGCGAGCCTATCCGATTTGTGCCTCGTTGTTGCAATTGAATTATCACGATTGCAGACGAAAAATCAGTACTTTACCAATTGCAAGCTGTATCAAGAGGAGGCGAAAAACGGCTTGAAAAAGTACACGGAAGAGGTGAGAAAGAAGATAATAGGCGACTTGGTTATGAGGCATCAAAATTACAATCTGAGCATATGCGATGAATTCGAAGCGATAAAAAAAGAAGCTCTCGATATTCCCGCGGAAACAGGCCCGCTGCTGGAACTTGGTTACAAAATCACATTAACTTGCGTATTAAAAAATATCGACGCAGCCGAATCGAGCTTGATTATTCAACAGGTCGTAGGATGCTCTATATTCAAACGGTCGGACTGGAGGAGCTGCGCGCCAAAGTCAGCCAGTCGCTCTACATGCTCACCGCTCTGTTTGCCCTTACCCTGTTGAAAAAGAATCACTTGAACCTCAACAATCGCACGATCAATTGGTTCACCGAGATCAAGGACGTTTTCGAGAAAAATGGCACGCTGTACGAGCAGAAAAAGTTCGAGCTCGAGGAGCGCCTGCAGAACAGAATCCTCGCCCTCAAGAAGCCCGTGGAGGACATGTTCCCGACCATACTCATGCTCAACGGCATGGACGACGCGACGCGCATCGGCGAGTACATCGAGTTCATGCGGACGTTCGTCCGGGGCCTCGAGTACATGGACGCCAGCGTCAAGTGGATCAACTCCGAGGAGGATCTCTTTGGCTTCCCGCGCTCGACTTATCCGCGAATCGACGAGCTGCGCAACGAGATCATCTCGCCGTTTTACCAACTCATTTCGAAAGCCTATCAGTGGCAGCGAGACGTCGGCGTCTGGCTCGACGGGCCCTTTGAAAACTTGGACCCCGACGTCGTGGAGAAAAAGACCGGAGAGTACTTGCAGGACTTTACGAAGATCGGCAAAGCCTACAAGACCAAAATCAAAATGCAGTTGGCCATGAATTATGAATACACGTGAGTATGTTTTTCGCTTTTCCCGACGTCAATGACAACATTCAATGAACGGCGTACTCGTAGTTTTCCAGGTTCGGTCGACGACCCTGATCCGATGCAACACCCCGCGCCCATGAAACTATGCCATCAGCTCCTCGTCGACGTCAAATGGTTCAAAGTACCGGGCGGTCATTTTTTATGCGAATCTATCAAGTATCAAAAATAAATGCCCTCGTTATTTCTTCCCTAGAATTACGTGCCGATGGTGCAATGTTTTTGCAATTCGGCTCTGCGTCAACGGCACTGGGACGAAATGTCGGGCATCGCAGGTTTCGATCTCACGCCCAATGCCGGCACGACGATGCGCAAAATTATCGGCATGAATTTGAGCGACAATATGGAACTGTAAGTGAACCGTTTATCTTTTTAGTTTTTTTTTCTCTTTTTCGATAAAATTGAATGGCTCAGCTATTTATGCGGTGTACAGGTACGAGCAGATAAGCGTCGGGGCCACCAAAGAGCTGGGTTTGAAAGAGCAACTGGAGAAAATGGAAATCGAGTGGGACGACGTGTTCTTCTCGACGGCGCCCTTCAAGGACAGCAAAGTGACCATACTGACGGGCATCGACGACGTTCAGGCGATGCTCGAGGAGCACATCGTCAAAGTACAAGCGATGCGAGGCTCGGCCTTCGTCAAGCCGATCGCCGACGTGGTCAAAGAGTTTTACGAGCTACTGCTGAGAATTCAGATGACCCTCGACGAATGGATCAAGGTGCAGGTGCAGTGGATGTACCTCTTGCCGATATTCTCCAGCAAAGACATAGTCGCCCAACTGCCCGAAGAGGGCATCATGTTCGGCGAAGTCGATGGCACTTTCCGCAAGGCCATGCAGAGCGTGGCCCGCGAGCCTTTGGTCCGAGAAACAGCTGGCTCCGTAAGCTCCCTTATACCTTGACAACGTACTCTTTGATCGTACGCGACAATATGTAAAAATGTCCCTTTCAGGTAGGTCTCTACCAAGCCATGAAAATGTCTAACGAATTGATGGAGAAGGTAAACGACGGCGTGTCGAATTACCTCGAAAAGAAGCGGCTATTTTTCCCTCGATTCTTTTTCTTGAGTAACGATGACATGCTCGAGATACTATCGGAAACAAAAGATCCATTGAGAGTTCAGCCGCACTTGAGAAAGTGCTTCGAAGGCATCGGAAAACTAGGGTATTTCATCTTCGGCATAGAATACTGCACGTAATTTTGCCTAACGCGTAATGGTTTTTTTCCAGTTTCAATTCCGACCTCGAAATATATTCCATAATTTCCGACGAGAAGGAAGAAATAATGATTCACGAACTGATATCGACCGCCACTGCTCGAGGCTGCGTCGAGAGATGGCTCGTTCAAGTAACAGATGTTTGAATTGGCTCTTATCAGGATCTAATCGAGCGAATTCTAACGTTGATCAATTGATCGATCAGGTGGAGGAGCAGATGGTCGTGTCGGTGAGAGAAGAGGTGTCGATGAGCTACCGCGATTACGAACTGACCGATCGCGTCGACTGGGTGCGAACTTGGCCCGGTATGGTGGTGCTGTGCGTCTCGCAGATATACTGGAGCATGCAGGTGCAGGACGCCCTGGTGACTCACGTGGCCTCGGCCATGCTCAATCTCTACCAGAAGCTCAAGAATCAAATCATCGACGTGGTGAATTTGGTCAAAGGTATAGAGCCGGACGAATTAGCTCTCACGGGAGCGTACGACTCGCGCGAGTTCCGAGGCTATATTTTTTTCGTCGCTTCGTTCGACAGGCGAACTGTCGAAGCAGAACCGGGTGACGCTCAGCGCGCTCATCACCATAGACGTGCACGCGATGGACGTGGTCAAGTCGCTCATCGACAAGGCGATCGTCAGCGAGATGGACTTCGAGTGGCTCGCCCAGCTGCGCTACTACTGGGAGGACGACGTGATCGTTCGAATCATCAATGCCAGCGTGCCCTTTGGCTACGAGTACCTCGGCAACAGTCCGCGCCTCGTCATTACACCGTTAACCGACAGGTCCGTGCTGTACATTTTGTTTTTCCTCGAGCTACGGCGATGCATTACCCTCCGCGCGCTCCTGTGCAGATGCTACCGGACGCTCATCGGCGCCTACTCGCTGCATCTGAACGGAGCTCCCGAGGGCCCCGCCGGTACCGGCAAAACCGAGACGACCAAGGACTTGGCTCGGGCCTTGGCCGTCCAGTGCGTCGTTTTCAACTGTTCCGACGGCCTCGACTACAAGAATATGGGCAAATTCTTCAAGGGCTTGGCCTCCTGCGGCGCCTGGGCCTGCTTCGACGAGTTCAACCGGATCGAGCTCGAGGTCCTGTCCGTCGTGGCTCAGCAGATACTCTGCATCGTTCAGGCGGTCAGAGCCGGCGTCGAGACTTTCATATTCGAGGGCACCGAGCTCAGATTGAATCCCAGCGTCTACGTCTGCATCACGATGAATCCCGGCTACGCTGGCCGTTCCGAATTGCCCGACAATTTAAAAGTACTTTTCCGTACGGTAGCTATGATGGTGCCGGATTACGGCATGATCGGCGAAATTTTCCTCTACTCCTCGGGTTTCACCAACGCCCGAGTTCTGGCCATGAAAATCGTCACCACTTACAAACTTTGCTCCGAGCAATTGTCCTCCCAATCTCATTACGATTACGGCATGAGAGCGGTGAAGACCGTCCTGACGGCGGCTCAGAATATCAAGTTGAAATTTCCCGAAGAAGACGAAACCATACTTATGCTGCGTTCGATCGTCGACGTGAATCTGCCGAAATTTCTTGCCCACGACGTGCCGCTGTTTCAAGGCATCATATCCGATTTATTTCCCGGCGTTACGTTGCCCTCTCCAAACTACGATATCTTACTGAAAGCCGTCGGTACGGTTTGCGCGAACAAAAATTTGCAAATGACCGATGGTTTTATTTTGAAGATTGTTCAGACGTACGAGATGATGCTCGTCAGGCATGGATTTATGTTGGTGGGAGATCCTTGTGGAGGTGAGATACTCGTACGCTCATAACACAAAAATTTACAAGAGTTTCCGACGAGTATTATTGTTTTTCGCAGGCAAGACTACGGTGCTTCACACGCTGGCTGCGGCATTGGCTCTTATGCACGAATGGGGCGACGAAAACGGAGCACCTACAAAGTTTATGACGATCAATCCGAAATCCATAACGATGGGTCAGCTTTATGGTCAATTCGACCCGGTCTCGTCCGAATGGACGGATGGAATTTGTTCGGTGGCTTTTCGAAAGTACTGCACCGAGGACACGCCAGAGAGAAAATGGATCATTTTCGATGGGCCGGTTGACGCGGTTTGGATCGAGAACTTGAATACCGTTCTCGACGACAATAAAAAATTGTGCCTCACGTCCGGCGAGGTCATGCAGATGACCGGCGTCATGTCGATGATTTTCGAAGTGATGGATCTGCTGCAAGCGTCGCCAGCTACGGTGTCGCGCTGCGGCATGATTTACATCGAATCCCACGTACTGGGTTGGAGGCCCATCGTCAAATCATGGATCGATACGTCGAATCCCAGCTGGAGGGAGAATCACGAGGAGGTCATACAGGCGTTGATCGACTGGCTCATCGATCCTTGCTTGGAATTTGTGAGGAAAAAGTGCATTTGCACGCTTCACGCTGGTCAGATGAACCAGATTACGTCGACTCTGAGCTTGATCGAGATGCTCATGAACGACGCCGTCTCGATTAATGCTGGAACGCCGTACGACGCCAATATAGACGCCTGGCTTCAAGCTGCCTTTTTCACAGGCATAATATGGGGAATCGGTGGTACTCTGGACATCGAGTCTCGAAATAAATTCAACGAGTTCGTTTTTTCTATTTGGCGCGAAGAAAATCCTGACTATCCGCTACCTCCCGAGATCGTTGACACGATTCCCACTCCGAACGAGGGGATGATTCACGACAACGTTTACATATTCAAAGGTAGAGGAGCCTGGAAGTCCTTCGGCGAGATGGTTAAGCACGAGCCAATCGTCGAAGTCCAGAGTATCGGCCAAATGATCATACCAACGATCGACGTCCTCAAGTATCAGTACATGTTTCAATTACATATAAAGCACGGAAAACGTTTCCTGCTTTTCGGCAAGACGGGAACTGGCAAGAGTTTTTACATTCAAGACATGATGGTGAATAAATTGAGAGAAGATCAAGTGCTTCCGAATTTCATAACGTTTACCGCGAGAACTACTGCGGCCAACACCCAAGAACTTGTCATATCGAAATTGTTCAAACGTCGAAAGGGACATTATGGGCCTATTGGCAATGCTCAATGCGTCGTTTTCATCGACGACGTCAACATGCCCGCCAAAGAAGTTTACGGCGCGCAGCCTCCGATCGAATTGTTGAGGCAATTCTTCGACCACGAGCAGTGGTTCGATCTCAAGGAACCCGAAGTTGTTCGAATTTACAATACCATGTTCATTTGTGCAATGGCGCCGCCCGGAGGCAGTCGTCAGGAAATTTACCCAAGATTCTTGCGCCATTTCAATCTCTACGAGATAAGCGAGTTTTCCAACGAAAGCGTTTTTCGTATCTTTTCGACCATCGCCCAAATCGGCCTCAAGAGAAGAGGATTCGCTACGGATGTGAATAACACCGTGAACGCCATTGTAAACGCGACGATGTTCATATTCGAAAAAATACGATCCGAGCTCCGACCGACGCCCATGAAGTCTCACTATTTGTTCAATCTCAGAGACATTGCCCGCGTCATTACGGGCTTCGTCATGATCAGAAAAGAGTCGGCCGAGACCAAGGACAAACTCGCTCGCGTGTGGGTGCACGAAGTTTTAAGAGTCTTTGGCGATCGCCTAATCGATTCGGACGACTCAAAGTGGCTCTTTGGACAGATCAGAGAGACCACGGACAAAGTTTTGCGAGAGAATTTCGATGCTTTGTTCGAAGATTTGCCCAAGTACGGCAACAAATTGACGTATGATAGTTTGCAGCATTTGTTATACGGCAACTTCATGGACCAGGACGCACTTCCCGAGGATCGAAAGTACGAGGAAATACTTTCGATCGCAGACTACAAAAATGTAGCCGATATGTGCTTGGAAGAGTACAACAGCATCAACAAAAGCAAAATGGACATAGTTCTCTTTAGATACGCTCTGGAGCATTTGGTCAGGATATGCCGAATTCTGGTCATACCATCTGGAAGTCTTCTGATGGTGGGAGTTGGTGGCTCTGGTCGACAATCGCTCACCAGATTAGCTTCTAGCATCGTAGGTTGCAACATATTCCAACCAGAGATAAGCAGTTCCTACGGCTTAAACGAGTGGAGAGAGGATCTGAAAAAAGTTTTGAAAATTGCGGGAGGCGTCGGAAAAGACTCGACCTTTCTCTTTACCGAGGGTCAGATTAAAATGGAAGCTTTTCTGGGCGACATCGACGGTCTTTTGAATTCCGGCGAGGTCCCCAATCTCTATACCGTGGAAGAAAAGCAAGAAATCGTCGAGTTAACGAGATTGGCAGCACAAGGTGGAAATAGAAATTTGGACATTTCCGTTCTGTCGATACTTCGATTTTTCGTCAACCGTTGCAAGGAAAAATTGCACGTCATGCTGTGCTTCAGCCCGATCGGCGAGGCCTTTAGGATGAGGCTCCGAATGTATCCGAGTTTGGTCAATTGCTGTACGATCGATTGGTTTCAGATATGGCCGGAGGAAGCTTTGGAACAGGTCGCTTTGAAGAGTACGACGTCCATCAACGTGGACGAGGACGTACGAGTCAATTCGGTCATAGCTTGCAAATATTTTCACACTTGTGCCAAAGAACTGAGCGAAAAATTTTACAAGCTGCTCGGGCGAAAAACCTACATTACTTCGGCAGCATTTTTAGATTTGATCAAGGTTTTTGGTATGCTTATGAAGGAAAAGCAGGACGAAGTTACTTTGGCCAAGTAAAATTTTAACAACATTGATTCATATCAATAAAAGATCTGCCTACATTGTAGTTTTCTTTCATTTTTTTTCGTTTTAGGGAACGTTATGTCGGTGGTCTTGAAAAATTGGAATTTGCAGCCGAACAAGTTGCCCAAATGCAAGTGACCTTAACATCTTTACAACCTGAGTTGCAAAAATCTGCCAAATTAACGGAAGAAACGATGAAAATAATAGAAAGGGAAAATTTGTCAGTTGAAAAAGCGACCAAAGTCGTTAAAAAAGAAGAGGACGCAGCTCAAGATCAAGCCAAAGTGGCAGGAGCCTTAAAAGCCGAATGCGAAGCCGATTTGGCCGAAGCTTTGCCTGTACTCGAGGAAGCAATTGGTAAAAATTAACACAAAAGAATAAGGTGCTTTTGCTATAATGTACTCAAATTAGAAATCGCTTTCAGCTGCATTAAATACTCTCAAGCCCGCGGATATTACTTTGGTAAAGTCGATGAAAAATCCTCCAGAAGGTGTAAAGCTTGTCATGGCGGCAGTCTGCGTTATGCTAAACGTTCAACCCGATCGAGTTACCGATCCGAATACGGGTAAAAAGGTTCTCGAGTATTGGGCCCCAAGTAAACGCATACTCAGCGATATGAAATTCCTCGACTATCTCAGAGAGTACGACAAGGACAATATTCCAAACTCAACGATGCAGGTACTCAAGACGCTTAATTATAATTATAGCCATTTAAAAATTTATATTTTTTATTCCTATGACGCAGACGATAAAAAAAGTTTACTTGACGGACAAAAATTTCGAGCCTCACAAAGTGGCGAAAGCCTCGCAAGCAGCCGAGGGTCTATGCAAATGGGTCCGAGCCATGGTGCTGTACGACCGAGTCATCAAAATCGTAGCGCCAAAAAAAGAAAAACTCGCCGAAGCCGAGCGGATGTTCGAAGAGACGATGAATTTTTTAAACGCCAAACGCAAAATGTTGGCTGACTTGAATCTGAAATTAGCCAAGCTGAACGACCAGTTGACGAGGACGATTGATACGAAAATCGATCTGGAAAATCAAGTGACGCTATGTCGAAATAAGCTCATTCGAGCGGAAAAATTGATAAGGTAAAGGTCGCTTTCGTGCATTTTTTAACTCATTCCTCAAACGATTGGCAGGCATTTGCGTTTTCTGACGCGAATCGAAAATCAATGTAGTACTTGCGAGCGACCTAATTTTCATACGAAAGGGTCAACCGATTAACTTTTACGGATTAACTTTGATACTCGTGGGTTTTAGTCGCGATTGAATTTGCGTCGTGTTTGTTGTTTTGTTTGGTAGATCACAGCGAAACGCGCAGAGTCGTACAAGTCGTTAAAAAATTTAACGAATACACAAAAATAAAGAAAAAAAAGTGTTTTTTTTTCGGCTTTATATCACTGTGACCTATTTATATACTTTGCATGCAATGCTCTTAAAATAATAAACAACTCTCGACACTCGCGAGGAGTGCAGTTCAAGGTAGCGCGTACACAGGCTCGTGCGCACGCAAGTCCGATAGTACAAAAGCTTTCTGTTGTTTTCAAGTGGCTTGGGTGGCGAGAAGAGCAGATGGACCGAGTGCGCGGAGAATCTCGAGCTCGTCTACCAATGCTTGCCGGGCGACGTGCTCATCTCCTGCGCCATGATCGCCTACCTCGGCCCCTACACCAATGCCTATCGACTCGAGAGCCTGGAAAAATGGCTCGATTACGTCAGCCGGCTGAACATTCCCCGCTCCGAGCATTACAATTTCGTCGACGTTCTCGGCTCCGAGATCAAGATAAACTCGTGGAATATCTTCGGCTTGCCGAGGGACTCCTTTTCCACGGAAAATGCCATCATCATGGACAATACGAAGCGATGGAGCTTGTTTATCGATCCGCAGAGTCAGGCCAACAAATGGATAAGGAGCATGGAGAAGCAGCACGAGTTGGAGATCGTCAAGCTCACCGATAAGAATTACATGAAAATCGTCGAGCAGTGCATAGAATTTGGTAGGTAAACGTGCTGATAAACAATAAACATGGTAATTTTCCCGTTTTATTTATTCTTTTCATTTTTGTTTCGCGTCGTCTTCGCGGTCGCATCGATAGGCAAACCAATTCTGCTGGAAAACGTTGGCGAGGAGCTCGACGCGGCGCTGGATCCTATTCTGGCGAAAAATATCTACCTCGTCGCTGGCATCTGGTACATTACCTTGGGCGAGGCGGCTATCGAGTACGACATGCGCTTTCGCCTGTACATCACGACGAAACTGCGCAACCCTCACTACCTGCCCGAAGTATTCAACAAAGTGACGCTCATCAATTTCGCCCTGACCATCGAGGGCCTGGAGGATCAGTTGTTGGGCATCGTCGTGGCGGCCGAGCGACCCGACTTGCAGGAGAAGCGCGAGTATCTCATAGTGCAGGGCGCGGCGAACAAGAAAGCTCTGAAGCAAGTGGAGGACGACATTCTGCGCACTCTATCGATCGCCGGCGCCTCGATTCTCGAAGACGAGGAGGCCATCGAGATACTCGACTCGTCGAAATTACTCTCGACCGAGATAATCCGCAAGCAAGAGGCCGCGAAAGAGACCGAGACGAAGATCGAGGCTTTTCGCCAGAGCTACCGGCCCATAGCCAAGCACAGCTCGGCGCTTTATTACACGGTGACGGATTTGCCGAGCATCGATCCGATGTATCAATACTCGCTCGTTTGGTTCATCAATCTCTACAAGATATCGATCGAGACCGCCAGCAAGAGTCACATACTCGAGAGGCGATTGGCCTTTTTGAGCAAAACATTCACTTACAATCTTTATCAAAACGTCTGCCGCTCGTTGTTCGAGAAAGATAAGGTGAGTATGGCGGAGCTTTAGCTTTTTGAGCTTTCTTTTCCCTTCGGCGTTTATCGTGTGTATTTGCATCTCTTTCGGCAGTCTATTTATTCCTTCATCCTTTGCACGACGATACAACAAGCGAACGGCGAATTGCCGCGCGAAGAGATGGGCTTTTTCCTCACGGGTGGTATCGTTCTTCAACCGACGACGAGCGAAGCCAATCCGTGCAGCCATTGGCTCTCCGACAAAGCCTGGGACGAGATCAGACGCGCACCCAACTTGCCGTCGTTCAAAAATTTTACCGATGAATTTATCAACCCAGCCAAGGCTCAAAAATGGCAAGCCTTTTATGACTCGACGAATCCCGAAAAGGAGCCTTTGCCCATGCCTTGGCAAAACGACCTCACGGAATTCCAGAAGCTAATAGTCATGAGAATGATTAGACCCGACAAAGTCTTACCCAAAGTGAGTCGTTGCCTCGCAAAGTGAATTGCGCGAATCGTTCGAATTTTAGCCGATGCATCTCTTTGCAGGTGGTTCAATACGTGCGAACGACGATGAACGAGAGCTTCGTGACCCCACCACCGTTCGACATAGCCCGCTCGTTTGCCGATGCCAATTGCCTCATACCTCTAATTTTCATTCTATCTCCGGGCTCGGATCCGATGAGCGCGCTCATCAAATTTGCCGATCAGTCGGACTACTCGTCGAAATTTTTCTCCATCTCGTTGGGGCAGGGTCAAGGGCCGATCGCTCGCGAGCTCATCGAGCAAGCTCAAGCCGACGGCTACTGGGTGTGCTTGCAGAATTGCCACTTGGCCGTCTCTTGGATGGCGGAGCTCGAGAAGATATGCGACGATCTCGACTGGACCAATACGAACATGAATTTTAGGCTTTGGCTAACGAGCTATCCGTCCGACAAGTTTCCTATTACTGTCTTGCAAAACGGCGTTAAGGTAAAAACATTTGATCAATGCAAATTTCATAAATCGAGATACCGAATATGAAAAAAAATAATAATAATAATAAATGAAAAGATGACAAACGAGCCACCTACCGGAATCAAGCAAAATCTTATGAGATCTTACACTTCTGAGCCGGTAAAGGATCCAGAGTTTTTCGACGGCTGCCCAGAGAAAGACAAAACTTTTACGCGATTGCTCTATGGGCTCTGCTTCTTCCACGCTGTCGTTCAGGAGAGAAGAAATTACGGGGCTCAAGGCTGGAACATACGATACGGTAAAATCACTCGGTTACAAGCGGACAGGCACAAATATGCTCAATTTATCCCCTCGCCCAACAGGTTTCAATGAATCAGATTTTCAAATATCGGCGCAGCAGCTGCAAATTTTTATCAACGAATACGACGAGGTGCCGTACAAAGCGATTCTCTATCTGACCGGCGAATGTAATTACGGAGGCAGAGTGACGGACGACAGAGATCGGCGCTGCCTCAATACGATTCTCAATGATTTTTACAACGACAGCGTGGTCAGCGACAGCGATTACAGCTTCTCGGAATCCAGCCCCGAGTACGCGCTGCCGCGAAGGTAACGTCATTGCGAGGCATCCGCCAGCGAGTCGCGCGAACAAAGAATAAAATGCGTAAATTCGCCAGATTCGAGTACAAAGACTACATCAAGCAGATCGAGTCGATTCCGGACAATCCACCGCCCCAAGTTCTCGGACTGAACATGAACGCCGGCATCACTCGCGACCTCGAGATCTCCAAGAACTTCTTCGACTCGCTCGCTCTGCTACAGGTGCGTATGTCGTGCTGCCTACTCGCGAGCGCACTAACTTGACCATAGTCGTTGCGCGCGATATACATCGCGGTATAGGGTGGAGCGAGCATACTCGACGCGTCGAAACAAGACGAGGTACTGTTGACGATGAAGGCCGACATATACGACCGGCTGCCGGACTCGTTCGATCTCGAGGAGGCTCAGAAGGCCCATCCGGCCTCGTACCTCGAGTCGATGAACACCGTCCTCGTGCAGGAGATGGAGCGCTACAATCGGCTGCTGCGCGAGATCAAGACCTCGCTGAGTCTGCTGGAGAAGGCCGTGAGGGGATTGATCGTTATGACGCCCGATTTGGAGGTAACGCACATCGGATGCGTGCGTGCCGAGCTAATTGCATCGGCCTCGCGAGCGCTCGCATCTCCACACAATGGCCCGCGCCTACGCAGCGCCGCTCAATTTTTTTCTTTCTTTCTCGCTTTTTTCTCGCATCAGACTCTCTGCGCCCACATGCTGGCCAACAAGATTCCACCTTCGTGGCGACGAGCGAGCGCCTACCCCAGCCTCAAGTCGCTCATGGGCTTCGTGCAGGACTTTATCGAGCGCATGAACTTCTTCCAGGATTGGTTCGAGCACGGCAAGCCCGCGGTATTCTGGATCTCGGGCTTCTCGTTCGTGCACGCCTTCCTCACGGGCGCGGCGCAGAACTACGCGAGGAAGTACAAGATATCCATCGATCTGCTGGACTTTGACTTCGAGGCCTTGCCGTACTTCGCGACGCAGCGGCCGCCCGACGACGGCGTCTACGTGCGCGGCATGTTTCTCGCGGGCGCCAGGTGGGATCTGAAATCGATGCGGCTCGACGAGGCGCTGCCCAAGCAGCTACACGACCAGATGCCTCTGGTCTGGATCAAGCCGTGCTTGCGCGCGAGCATCGAGCCGAGGGGCCGCTACGTCTGCCCGCTCTACATTACCTCGGAGCGCTTCGGCACCCTCAAAACCACCGGCCACTCCACCAATTACGTGCTCGATATTCTCATCGATACGCATTTGCCGGTGAGCCATTGGATCAAGCGCGGCTTGGCGCTGCTCTGCCAGTTAGACGACTGAAGCTGCTTGCGATCGATCGATCTGTCAATTTTTCTAATGCGTCAGAAAACACTATTCTGGCTTTGGCATTGCTACCAGTAATAAATATATGTATCTAATGTATAGTATTATTATCAGATGTTTCATTGAACGTAACTCTATTTCTCCGTCAAAGTAATGTTGTTCTACAAAAAATTTGCAACGTCCTCGAGAGATTTATTAATATCGTAACTAAGCATCAACACCTTGTACGCTCGCAAATAAATATTTTTTACCTCCGCTGAAATCATAGGATTATTATAAATATTCTGAACTCGTTTACTCGTCGGTTCATTGCTATAGCTCAAACACATAAAACCGTTGAACACAATTTATTTATCAAAAAGTCGGTAAATTATTCATTGCGAGCAATGTCAAACTTTTTTTTAGTAAAATTTCTCTTTGAATAGTTTGGTTGGGCTCATTAAAAATAATTAGACATTTATAATGCACGAACTATCGACAAACGTGCTCTATATATATGCCTTTTTTGCAATGTTGAATATTAAAAAGTAAAAAATATTCCACTTTAGTTGACAGTACAACTATAGCAAAGCTATAAATCGCAGTTCATAAGATGATTGCAGGAGCAAGTCTATTGCGTATAGGGCGAATTTGTCATTGCGCAAAAACTCGCGACTCTCCTACTTTAAAATTTTTTAAACATTACCTGCACTCCAAGCGCCATATCTTTGAGAGTCACTGGACAAATAAGGAGTTGCGCGCGCACTCGGCAGAAGACATAGACCATAAGCACAGTGCACGGAGTGACACTTTTCGGCATTTCATCTCTAATCTGTCGGACAGCTCCCGGTTGTTCGCTCTCTGCAAGTAATAAAGTGCACCATTTACGCTGCAATCTGCTTCTTGATTAATGTAAACCTATTATGAGCATATTAATCAGGAAGAAAAAACAGTTGCTCTAGTGACGTAAGGATAAAATTGTAGATAAATTTGAAAAAATAATTCATATTACTGAAAAAAACATGCTTTGACATTTAATGAATTAATTATTGTATGACTTTCGTGGAAAAAATGTCGTCTTTGCTCCGTTCGTTATTGCAATTTTAGTATTGTTAAGCAAAAGCACAGGTTATTACTAAAAATGTAAGGTTCTTGAAAGCTCTTCGATTCTCTTTAAACGATCAGTGTAGAAAATCCAAAAGAGGTAACGAGTTTATCATACGATAAGAATCGCAAAAATCGAGAAGCTGCTCAAATGCACGAGTGCTTTGATTCGAAGGAAATGCACATGAAATAGCTATTAATTCTGCGCATGATTGTTTCATACAGAGTACATAATATAATAATGATGATAATAATGAAGGCTCGAGTGTGTAGGTAAACGTAATATTTTGTACTTGTGTGCGTCTGTCAGTAAGGGTATGTATATACGTAGAGAAACATTATCAATCGACTGCGCACCACTGGCTCTATTTGACTCCGTCTCTGTTGCACTCGTTTTGCGCTCGCGCGCGCGCGTGTGTGTACGAGCGCGCGCTTGAGTGTAGACTCACACACATAAGAGAGGCATACGGACGGAGTAGAGCTGGAGCCGCGTTCCGGAGTCGGAGCCGCTCCGGAGTCCGGAGAGGGGCTATATTGCGCTCGTGTGAGAGTCGGGCAGCACATCAGTTTACACAGTATCGCTGCTCTGGCAGCCAACGCGCATTGCTCTCACTCGCTCGCTCGCTCGCCTTTGCACACCAATTGTTGTTAGTATGCATATATATTTACATGCCCATACATTACAATATAAATAGTAGATGACTCGAGCGGGAGGAAGAGCAGTGGTATGATTTAAATTTTTAAATCACCAGTGCGTAATGTGAGCCTCGCGGGCGTGTGCTTGCCTCCTGTGTTGCTGTGTGTCGTTCTGTGTTTTTATTTGTTGTTTTTTTTTCAAACGTGCGGGCATCGACGCATTCGAATCGATTCCCAGCGATCGACGCAGCGAACGAGTGCACTAGATCGAGTGATCCGTGAATAGTGCGACAAATTTTTATGCCGCGATAAAGGAGCCGTAGGAAAAATTTAAAAAATCAGGAGGCATCTTTGGCTTGTGCATTGCAGCAGCAGCAGCAGCCCCGCCTCCCTCTCCCACGGAGTGGCATCGACAGTATATAGTTATATATCGTGGCACAGCAGCAGCGGTGTTGCAGCACCAGCAGTCCAAGCGAGTTTTATGGAATATTCAGCAGAGTACGATTCATTTATGTAAATTAATCGTTTTTTTCCTCTCAAAAATTTCGCTCGTATCGTTTCTACGCGCTAACAAGAATCCTCGCGACTACGTGTGTGCGTAAGTAAAAGCAAGTGTTCAACTTTATGTGTGAGTGTGTGTGAGTGTGTGTGTGTGCGCGAGCGTTGTGCGAAGATATATATACGTATATGCGTGCTCGGTGAGAGCGAAATAGAGAGAAAGGCGTGTGCCGCCAAAAGCAAGCACAGCCAGGGCTCCTCTGATCAATGAACTCTAGCGGCGCGGCGCGCTGCGCATCTTTCTCATGCCTCGTCGTGCTTCAATCTATGTATATCCGAGACTGTATGTTAAACTTGGCCAAATCTTCCAAGGAAGAGAGAGAGAGAAAGAGATCGAAAGTTTTTTATTTCCATCTTTTTCGTAAAAAAATAGTCTGCGAATATATACATCGATGCGACCATCGAAGCTATACGCAGGGTCAGAGCTCGCTCAACTCTGACTCTCTCGCTCTGCGCGTGCTTTTTTGATATTTTTATATCTACGTCTTCGCAAGGGTCGGCTTTTAACGAGATTATTTTTCTGACATTAAGCGTTCCGACTCGAAAGTATTTGATTTTGTTTGACTATCAAAAGCATCGCACTCGGCATTCGCGCGCACCCATTTAAATTACAATTCGAATATACAAAACAGATTAGAACGGATAAAAGCCCGAATGTAGCTTGGAAAGTTTGTGTTTTTCATGCTTTCGAGACTTGTTATAAACTGTGAAATTTGAAAAATATACAATTTTTATATTGAAAACTATAAAAAAAAAAAACAAGTTTCTCGCAATGTCAATGATTTTTTTCGAGCATCCATGAACTTTTAAGAAAGAAAAGGTAATTGATGCAATCGCTTTGATTTATTCGCGGATTTTTTCATTCTAATGCACGCACCAGCTTTGTTTAAATCATAAACTTCGAGTTGGCAAAGTTCACGCCCGGAGCGGATAACTTTTTGAACGATAGAGGGCTTGTGGCTATGCTTAATGAAATTCCACAACAAAAATGTTCGATAGTAATTTATGTCGTTCTGAATGAATTCTCACACCCGACGACGGGATCTATTTCAATGTAGTAGCTGGATGAACTTTTCTTCAAGTAGGTCAGTCAATAGTTGAAGTAAAAAAGACAAAAGTTTAACTTTGTATTCAAGCCCGTTTGGACGTTCACTACAGTATGATGAATTAAAAAATGTATTCCGTTTGCACGTGTATCGAGCGTCATTCTTTTTTTTAGTACAACTCACGAATACACAAGTGTACGCGGACGCGTTACATAATTTAAGTACAATGAAATGGGTTTACATAAGAATGTTCCTGAATATTTCAATTATATTTTATGAATTATGTGCACGAGTAACAAATTCTTTGATAGGAAAATATAATCACATCAGGGCAAATAGTTGGTAGATCTTTTTGAGGTAAGAATTCTGCTTCATACTAGAGATTGAATTAACGAGATATTGTTTTACATCTATCAAATCTAAATTTGATGGAAAAAACGTGTAATATGTCTCACCAGTAGCGGATACGTTTCCGGTGAAATATTAATCCTCGTACCATAAATACATACACATCACAGGTTTGGGCCACACTGAGACATTATATTATATTTTACGCTTCAGCAAATCGAATAAAAGTAAAAGAATACTCACGGTTTTATTCTTACATTGCATTCGAAGTTGAAATAGATGGGATAGTAAAAAAAGTACTCTTTGTACAACGAGCGTTTTCGATGTATAAAAATATGTTCAAATTGTGAGAAAATACTATCGGTTCTGCGGTCCAATTTTTCAATACTATCACTGTGTCACACTTTTCATTCTTCCATGCGGTAGAAAAAAAGCATATCCAGTCGTACTATCCAATAACAAGACATCAGCCAGAGCAAAAAATACACAAATTTTTAAAATTACTCTTAATGCGTTTCATATCTAAGGTCAATTATTGAAGAGAGACCGAGCTACGCGCATGAAAAATTCGTAGACTTATAAAGTATTCAAGTGTTAAAGATAAAACATTAGAAAGAAAACCAGTACAGATGAATTAGCTTTTTTCTTAGTATTATGCTAAAATCGTTGCAAAAAATGGTTTATTCTTTCAAAGTAATCTTTATTAACTTTAGTCAATGTCTTGAAATCTAGTTATAAAAAGTGTATATAAATAAAACAATTTAAAATGGCATCTGATAGGTCGAACAATTTTTGACTCGAATTCCAATAAAAAAAGCGAAATTTACGTCGAAAATTGAAACTACATAAAATTGAATTGCAATAAAAGCGCGCGATGCGCGTCAAAAATTGTATGAAAAATAAAACAACAAAGTCATACCTCACCAGTTCTGCTTGTAAAAAGTTTTAATTTTTTTTTTTTTTTTGCATTTTTTACAAGAAGTACTTTTTGAAAATGCACAGTCAAAAGAAAACTGAAGTATTGAAACTGATCAGATACATAAAAAAAAAAATATTTATCCAAGACAGTCGAGAAAAATATTTACAGAAAGTGTCTAATTTCAAATACCTTGCACTTTGAGTAAACTGATTCATGACACTTGCGAGATTGAATATATGCACTTACAAAGAGGGAATTTTTTTTCTGAAAATCTGACGTATCACAAAAGTCTTGAATGTGCTTCATAAGTTGGTTAGTAATAAACTACGGACAAAAAACTTCCCATCAATTAAGGTACTGAAGGGCATACCTAATAAAGGGCAATCAAAAAATCAATTTGTAAACCATTATTTTTCTATTGATTCATTTATTATTTATGTGTAATTTTTTTATTACAATATTCTATGATTATCTATTCTATTTTTAATTTTTCTTACCAACGTGGTAAATTATTGTATAAAAATTGGTTCTTAACAAAAGCTCATCAAAGATTTTTCTAATCAGCTCAGCCATTTAAGAGATAAATTATTAGCCATTTAAAAATATTTCAGTTCAATAAAAATGTATTTTAATATCCATTAAAATTGATATTTTGACAATACTTGTAATTATTATAACATCAAAATCTATAAATAGATCGCTTGTGTATTTTTAATATTCACTGAGTTTATATAAGAACGAAAAAATTTTTAAGCATGATTCAAGGTAATATTTAATTTCCGCATTTATAACACGTTATTAAATGGTCAATTGTCTTCATTTCTTACTGTTGACACGAAACTTTTATAACAGCTTATTCATTTTTTAAGAACTCTTAATAACGATAGAAGTGTTGATTAGAGCAAATAAGAAATACATTTATATTTCTATATTAATTATTTCATAATAATAGATTAGATAATTACTTCCATGTAATAATGTAATAATACGTATCGTTATGTATAGTGGATGATTTCACGTATGAAATTACGTTATTATACCAATGCGATCGTAAAGGTCTCTTGAACATCCCTCATATGATTTCTATGTGATTTTCATATCATCATAATAAAATTTTAATATGTGGTAGCAGAGTAAAAAAAGTAAATCATTCAATAGTACATTGAATTAAAATGACCGAGTACCTCTCAAATAAAGTTATTGTAAATACATAGGTTTTTCAATGTAGACATACCCCTGAAAAAGTCAACCATTCCCTTCGAATCGATTTTTCGCGACAGAACCTTACGAACCTACTTATATATTACAAGCACATTGTATGTATGTTACGAGTGCCACGTTGGAAAAATCGATTTTCTTTGTATTGGGGTGTGCCTCGTGCTCCGTTTTTTTTCGAAAATCCTTTTAAATAAGGACATTATTTGAATTCACAAACTCACTAGTTTTTTTACCAATCGTTAATGTATATGTATTGTTGATGCTTATTTGATTCACACTTACGAAATGATGTTTTATGTTTCATAATAATATTAAAGAAAAAAATAAAATGTTGTCCACAGATGCCAACGTAGAACTGAAAGAAACCAAAGAAATATTCGTCGATGCTCAAGTCCGAGCAATGACGAGAACTCAGATTGGTGCATCGCCGGTTTACGTTAGATGAAGAGTCGCTACGTCGGCATCGTCATCGGCGGTGATCGTATTTTATCGAGAAAAAATACGTGATGAGCAAGATGCCACACAGCCATTCGAGCCCAGCGGGTGTCGACGTTGGCGGCGGTGGTAGTCGTACACCACCGGCTACGCCCCGAAAAGCTGGCAAAATGCTAGCTTTCAGGATACAGATGCTCGACGATTCCATCACGATATTTCAAGTGCAGGTAAGACATACAAAATCCATCAAGCTATAAACTTATCGAGAATAAAATCGACTGAAAACATCTTTATCCGAAAAATTGAGCCCAGTAAAGTAAGATTAATCATGTTGCAGATCTTGCTATTATCTTGCAAGCTTATATCTGAATAAAGTCTTAACATTTTTGCAAGCTTGTTAAGTTCACTGATCTACGAATAAGGACTGTATGGTTTTTGCACATTTTATTGTGCTTACGAATCTGGAATCCATGATAAATATTTCTAAATTTTACTCAACCTTTTTTTGACAAAATGATCATGTTGATGTATACAAATCCAAAATACATGCATTCCACTAGTTCCTAAGAGATTCGCATACATTCAAAAAAGTCCACTAAATTGTGGATTATAAACTCGATTAAAAGTTCATAGTGCGTAGCATTTACATAATTAACCATTGCTCCTTTTGACCCTGAGTGAAAAGCTTCATAAAATGTTTGTGTAAAGATACGTATCTGTGAAACTCACACTATTTTTATGCAAGCTTTTATATGTCATTGAACTTTTCAAGCAATCGTAAAATAAATAATCGAAAGTTTCTTCGTTAGATCAAATTATTAAATAAATCAAAAAAAGATTATTTTAACGAAAATGCAATTGAGAGAAAAAGAAAGAGAGAGACAGACAGAGACAGAAATAATCGAGTTGTACAGTAATTAAATGAATACGTATAAAAATTGAGTGAATGAAAAAAGAATCGATTTTTCGATCGGGACATGCCACCGAGGTAACATTTTCCACACCATGTCTCGATGGCAAATCTAAGTGGTACTAAACAAATGAAGTTTTTCTATGCAATCAGGAAGAATACAACAATATTGAATGAATGACCCACACAGATTCATTTGCGTTGGTTTAAAAACATAGCATATGTGGATTTGTAATAAGCACATTTGCGTAGTATGAACCATAAACAAAATGATTGTCCATTGAAGCAATAATAACATAAAATTTAAAAGGAAGAAACTTTTTCTCAGTGAAGTAGTTGGAATTTGTTAAACTCTTTTATATCCTATTGTTTATCACATGAAAGTTATGTGTCTTTTGATGAGTTTGCGTGATGGATTGGTGGATTTTGAGAGCAATATCTATAATTTATGCGTTTTAATGACTTTTTAATGATCGATCTACCCGTCATAACGATATAAACGGCGCCGGCGATTTTTTCAATCTCTTTTCGATGAGGATTAGATGCAATTTAATAAAATGCAATTTAATTGCGATGTTATTAATCTCTATCAGTATTTCCGGGTCAGTGATGAATTATAATCATCGTCCCTTCAAACTTGCAACGAATGCGTGCATCAGCGATATATTTTTTATTCTCGCGTGTAAGATCGAGGTTATATGAACTATTAGAGCAGATGTAACGCATTGATTTTTTTAGCCTCAAGTTTACACCTAGGTATAAATGATAGTTGTGTGTAGCCTGGCTAAAGGTACTGTTATAGATGATCACCTTTAACGCGTTGAGATAAGCATAAAGGATTTTTCATTGTTTCTCAGTGAATACATTTACTCAGTATATTTACGTTTTTGCAGGCGAAGGCACTTGGACGGGTACTGTTTGATCAAGTATGCAAACAACTGCATCTCTTAGAAGCGGACTATTTCGGTCTCGAGTATCAGGAGCCCAATGGAACGAAGGTAGGTAAAAATGTCATAATGCATCATTTACTCGGCTCGCCGAAAAATGAGAAATTCCAAAGACGTTATAACGTATCCTTGGCTTACACGCTCGTATTACGCATAGCGTTCATAGGTGCGCTTTCTCCTCTTGGCGAGATTGCACCGGCAATAATAATTCGTACATCGTCCATCAGAGTTGCATACACAGAGCATCGAGCATAATGTATTTTTGTTGGCCTTTCAGTACTGGCTGGATCTCGAGAAACCAGTTTGCCGACAAGTGGGGCTGTCGCTGGTCGACCCGCTCCTCAGGTTCTGCGTCAAGTTCTACACGCCCGATCCAGCCCAGCTCGAGGAGGAGTTTACCCGATACCTGTTCTGCCTGCAAATAAAGCGCGATCTCGCTCAGGGTGTACTGTCCTGCAACGACAACACGGCAGCGCTCATGGCCAGTTATATAGTTCAAGGTTCGTACCGAGGAATTTTTCAATCTCCAACTCGTGACGCGTTTACGCGCGCCTTTGTCTTCTTTTTTCTCGCTTCGTCGAATAAGCAGCTTCAAAATTGCGCATCTTCCGTGATATGCGCGCGTGTGCTCGAGCTATACTCGTACGTATTCGAGTGCGTAAGCTAGATATCGTGTGCTTCATGCGATCTGCGGGCGCAGACGTCTTGATTAATACTCCAATCCCATCGTGAGGGGATCAGACAATTGGCTCATTGTCGCGCAAGGCCATTGTGAGCATTTGGCTTTCATTATTATAAACTCTCTCGGCCGCTTCGCATACGGTTTCTCTCTCGAGAGCTGCAGCTGAACTGCGCGACCATAAATTATGCGGCCATCTATGTGTGCGCGTGTTACGCTGCAATTTCGTCGCATTACATGATGAATCTAAAACTCTCTAGTCCCGACTAATGTATCGTTTGTCTTTTGGCTTTTTCTTTTTCATTCACAGCTGAATGCGGTGATTTCGTCATCGAGGACTATCCTGATCACACGTATCTGTCAACCTACCGATTCATGCCACATCAAAATCCCGAGATCGAGCACAAAATAATGGAGAACCACAAAAAACACGCGTAAGTTTGTAAAAATTTCCACGCGATGCTCGAGCTGCGTTCGACCGTAAATTAGCTATCGTAGGAGTTGATGCTTATTACCGTGGCCTTGATCGGCCACTCGCAAAATCGGCTAATAACAGGAAGCGGCTCGAGTGTGCAGCACATCTATGAACGTAATCGAAACGTTGCTTTTGCTTTTTCGTCTCTCTATACAGCGGCCAATCGCCAGCTGAGGCGGACTTGAATCTATTGGAGACGGCAAGACGCTGCGAACTGTACGGAATGAAGATGCATCCTGCCAAGGATCACGAAGGAGTGCCGCTGAACTTGGCAGTGGCGCACATGGGAATTTTGGTCTTTCAAGCCTCCACTAAAATCAATACCTTCAGCTGGGCTAAAATCCGAAAAATTAGCTTCAAGCGAAAAAAATTTCTCATCAAGTTGCATCCCGAGGGCTATGTAAGTTCTCGCGATGATACAGTAACTGGGCACGAAACTTTGACGTCGTGTATCGGTTCACAGGGTTATTACAAGGATACCGTGGAGTTTTTCTTCGATGGTCGCAACGAATGCAAAAACTTCTGGAAAAAATGCGTTGAGAATCATGGCTTCTTCCGCTGTTCGATAGTCAAACGAGTTACGCGACAAAAAACTCGTGTGCTAAGTCGAGGATCGTCATTTCGGTACGTATACATCGAAGAAACTCAAAAAAATCTATAAATTTTTATAGCTGAATGATCATTAATCATTTCTTCTCATCTTACTTCCAGGTACAGCGGAAAAACTCAGAAACAGATTGTTGAATTCGTGCGTGACAATTACGTGAAGAGACAGACGTTCCAGAGGTAAGCTATTAATAGCAAATATCGCAACAAATTGTTAAGGCCGCTTCGAAAGTTTAATGTTGATCAAACACAGTATATAAAATAATAACTTTGGTTTAATACTTATGTAACGGGTTTTTTATAACACCTGAGTGATTTGCTTTTATATATTTTATCTCATATTGTTCTTTATAAGTACTCGAGTAGCTAGTGCATGAGTTTGAGTAATGCCCTCCACCCCTTCACTTCTCCTGCTGAATTGTATCATGACAAAGAGTTAATTTCGGACTTTGTACATTTTTACCCAACAATGATTTCATCTTTGACAATAGCATAATTTTCGGTCTGTTCTTAATGAATCGGATTTACTAAACACTTGTTTATATTTAAATCAACATCCTCAGTAATTTTATTTCTTGTAATATACGTAATTTTAACTTTGATTATATCATGATTTTTCACGTTGCATTTACAACCGAATTTTGTTTGTCGTTTTAAAAACTTGAGAGACTATTCATCGAATAATCAATAAATAATTTACAAAGTATTGATTTTTTCTTGCACTGTGTGAAAATTGTGTGATAAAACGTTGTTTTCACTTATATTGTTATTTTATTCCTCTTATTGTTATTCTTTATTCTGCATCACACATGATCATTCTGATATATACGTTAAAAACCTGTTATCGATGTCAGTGTTGCCTGCCTGGAACAAAAAGGGTGGCGGGAGTCAGGCTCACCATCAGGCACGATTTCAATACCCAAATAATCATGTTCCATATGCATAAGTAAATTTATAATGACTTCGTGATTTACTTATCCATATGTACCCTCCGTCAATTTTTAAATTAACATTGTTATGTTTGAAGTATATATAAAGAACTTACGTATTCTCTTTCTCAATTTCACACTAATTACCAAAAAATACATTCATTCTTACTATACGATATTGAACCTCCATTGCTCCGATTCTGCATACATCAATTAATTGGCGTATATATACATTCAATCTGGCGACTATAATGATAATAATTATAGCAAAAACGAACCTTATGATTGTTATTGTTATTATCATCAAATCACCATTCACTAATTTTACATGTATAAATATGTATAATACAATAGCCGTCGATTTTCGATTTACATGTAGTTGTGCATATATACTATGTACTCATTTTCACAACTTGTTTGAAAAAACTAATTGTGGATAAAACTATTGACCAAATTGTGATTTGATACTTCAATCATCTTTATAGCAGTAGTTCGATAAAAATATATAGAATTTGAATTTTCATAACTTTTTCACTCACATAATTTATATTGCAAAACCCCGTAATAAATCTTTATATTTACTTCGTTACTTATACTACGTCATGTAATATTTACTAGTCATACACTTACTTGAAATATTTTTTAAAAAATCATAAATTTTCTTCATGGTCATCCGATCTGTCGTGACTTAAGCATGAGGATCTTATTTATTGATTGAAACATTGTATGATGACATATTTTACAGAATGAGGAGGGTTTGATGTAGCTAATAAACCAAAAAGTATTATTAAAAAACCAAAACAAAAGCAAGACTTGTGTTAGCCTTGTTAGGTCTGATGCTGAACTTGACTCTCTCTTGCTCGCAGGTCCAATTCGTTCCGGCAGACTAGCAGTGGTAGGGCATTTCAGGGCTCGGAGGGGGGAGGCTATCGTGGAGCCACATCGAGCAGCTCTCTTATGGGTAGCTCCAGCATCTCTGCCCACCCCCTCCTGCCCCTCGGCGATCCTTGTAAGTACCATCATAGAGAGAGCGAGAGAAAATATAGCAAAAATTGAGCAACAACACCAAACACTGAACACTCAACGAGATTTCAGGAAAAACGCTTCAATTCCAAGTTTTAATTTTTGTTTATTAATATTTTTCCTCCAGTATGTAAAAATTTAGTATTATTTCAATTTTTTTGAAAACTTTGAACAGCTATTAATTTATCTATTATAGTGAATTGCCATCGAGTTCTTTCGTTTTTAATTACATTAATATTCATGTAAATAATTATAATTTGTTGCCGTCTTGTAGTGTAGATTATAAAGTAGCTTTTACGTAGATACATCGATTGGCTTCTTAGATTACGAATAAAAATAGCCAAATAAATCTCTGAAAATTAATTTAAATCTTAAATAAAAAATTTAATTGAGGATACATCTCGTTAATTTCTATGAAGTATTCGTTTAGAGAGGTAATAAAAAGTAACCGAACCATGTGATTTTAGCCCTGGAACCAGCTCTGTCTCTGTCATGCGGTTCGATGACGCTGGATTTTCCGATGACTGCGACGAGTGCCTCGATAGCCGGGATGACTCACCGACGCGACGACACAGCTACGTCCTATCGGACGCTCACCTCTATCGACGTACATTCCCCGGCTATGCCCTACAGCCAGGCCCAGGTAGCAGCATCTCATGCTGTCAACCACCATCAGCCGCAGCAGTTGCAGCAAGCCAGGACTTCATCAACAGGTCGTATCAGCCCCTCTAACAGCAGTCCCTCCGAATATCCGGAATCCAGGCCCGTATTATATAAGTATTCCTGGCAGCGATCTGCCAGCTGTCGCGAACTTTATCTTATTAACTCTGATCATGACTCGGATCATCATTATAACGATGATTACGACGGTATTCTTGCTCGTTCTCAAAGCGCTTCAAGCACAAAACCTCACTCGCTCGATCGAGACTCTGTGCCTGATAAAATTTATAGTAGCTCTTACCCTGGTGCATCTTCCGCCGAGTCAGGACACGACGGTTCGGCGCACGCTGGTGATCTTTCTCATGACGATCTGTCGCACGACTCGTACGAGTTGTTGGAACGCGAGGCTGAGTTCGAGGATAACGAATCCGTCTCGAGCGCTCACGACGATCGCGATCATCAGAAACAAATGTCGGATCAAAGCGACGAAGGCATAGAACCAGAAATGTTCTTCATGGATCCTGAAACCGAGTCCTTTGTTAAGACTAAATCAATTAGGTCTACGGATAAGCAATTATTCAAAAACGTACTTACGGACATTAAAAATTCTAGGGGTACCAAGCCCAATGATCGGTACATGACGAATACCGTATCGCAAACATCGGTAGATAACGACTTCATCATTACTGAGTCGCGTATCCAACGGACGAATACTAAAATCGAAAGAAAGTTTGAAAAACGACACGCCAATTCGGTAGACGTTGCGCCAACTTATAAGCCGGACCCCCTTGTTATGCAAGTTCAACAACAAAAAGTCACAGTCCTTAACGAACTAAAAAATCTTAAACCTAAATATAAAATCACTCACGTTGATTCTGAAGTATTAAGGGATGAGGGTATCATGAAGCCAAAATCGCGAATCGACGATGATGTTAGTCCAGTCGATTTGAATAGGGGCACTAGGCAGAATCGAAGTAAAAACGTAGACGATAGAAAAAGCAGAGAATCAGAAATCATTTCAGACAAGTATCCATCGAAAATGCATGAAAAAGAACGCAAAAGAAGCGATAGAGAAAGTTCACGTAGTCGACGAAGTATGGAGCGAATTGATTCAAGGGAGACGAGACACTATGCAGAATTAAGACGCAGCTTGGAACGTCTTTCAAATAGACGACAAAGTTTTGAACGATTAGATTTTGAGCGAGAAAGACGGGCCAGTTGTCGAAGTGATTTCAGAGATTACAGAGGAAGTATAGAAAAAATTGATACACGCGAATATCCTCGAAGTATGGAGAACCTTGATTGTAGGAGTAGGAAAAAGCACTGCCATCAATCAAGTCCAGGGCGTAGCCCTTCATCAGAATATGATTATAGATATTCAGAAGTACGATATTCCGGTAGTTCTCGAAGTCCTCGTAATAAAAGTACTGACAGAGCCGACAAACATAAATCTGTTTTCGACTTTGACCCTGTTGCTATTGAAAGACTGAGTTCTTTCGAAAGGTACGAGATTCATAAAAAAGAAAAAAGAGCTGAAAAGAAAAATAAGGAAGAGAAAGAAAGAAAAAATCTTGAGAGCAATTACGCTCGTACAGATTATAAAGAAGTTATACACATAAGTGACAGAAGTCAACATGGTAAGCCGAAAGAACGAGATGATTATGAGAGTTTGGAAAAAGCAAGAAGGGAAGCAGAACGTCGCGAAAAAGAACGTCAAGTGAGACAAAACATTGAATCTAAAATTGATTCTTTGATCAGTGCCCCAGTTGAAAAAGAAAATTTGAAAACCAAAGCAATATTTTCGGAATACGATCCAAAAGTAGTCGCTGGAAACGTTGTTGGATTTCCAGATGATCCTTCATCGCGTAGCCATTCACCGATCGAAAGAACTAAGAGCGATCCCAATCCTACACGACAAAGATTAGGCTCCAACAGTAAAAGACATATGCTAATGCACCAAAAGTCGATCGACCTTACGCCAGCTGACTCAGGTGATGAAGATGCTTTTGCTCCAGATGGCATTCAAGTACGAAAACCTAATGTTGATATACCTTATACTTTACATAAACGTCACGTGATGAATGGTACTGCTTCTCACGAGAAGGCTGATTCTGATGGTTCTAAGCTAGGGAAAATTGCTGCCAAAGTTTTAGCTAAAGATTTACCTAAATTGCCTTTGCAACCAGTAACTGATGCTTCTTTTGTTGATTTGACGAAACTTACACCAGATCAATCTCGTAATGTTCTCCCAAGTCCTGAGAAGAAAGTTCTCAATACTAGTCCGTCGACTAAACTGAAAAGTATCTTAAGTTCAAAATTATCATCTAGTATATCACCGGATAAAAGTCCAAAAGTAAGCCCTTCAAAAAAACCATTGGGTAAAGAATCGTCCAAATCAAGTTCTTTAGAGTGTAAGGAAAAAGGTGAATCTTCTAGAGCAATAGGGCCTAAATCTCAAAGCTTAGATAAGAAATACACTAGATCACCAAAACATTTATCTCCTACTGATCCTACAGTCTCTATAATCTCCGTACTTGAAAAAAGACGTTCTCCTGATTCTGGTTCAAGAAGTCCAAGCTTATCGTTTCATGAGATCGTAGGGATGGAAATCAAAAATGAAATTGAGCGAAGAGAAAAATCAAAAGCACGTGCAGCAGAAGAAGGTTTAAAAATATCAGATAATATGGATAATGTACCACTTCCAGAAATACCGGATAAATCGAAAAAGCCACCTATTCCCGAGAAAAATATTGCTACTGTTCGAAAACCGAGTAAGTTAATTGTTACTGATTATTCAACTGATGATCCTGGTGAACTTGAAGGTCGAGTGTCAGGTCCAACTTCGCCAAAACCACCTCCTTCGCCGAAAAAATCAAAACCTAAAAGATTAGATAAACCAAGTATTCCAGAAAAAACTAAACAAATTTTAGATAAAATTGAATCTAAATGTACTACCATGAAAAGGCCAAAAATAATTGATACAGGTCAAGATGATTTTGTAGAGCCAATAGCTGATTTGCCCCTTGACGAAGTACCTGTAAAACCTCATTTGGAATTAGACTGCTTGAAAGTCCCAGAGTTTACTCCATTTATGTTGAGACCACACGGTGAACCTATACGATCTAAATCTTTATCATTAGCCGAAGACAAAGCCCCGATCGATACTCTGCTATCGCCAGAAGCAGAAAACAAAAGTTTTACTCAAGATGTATCTCCCAAAAAATTGAGGAAAGCAAAGTCAGATTTGTGTAAAAAGGATTTCAAAAAACAATCCAAATCTTTAGAAGGGGATAAGCCCCCACTCCGAAAAAGTGGCTCTAGAGAGCTCCGAATTTCTCCTTCAGGTTCACGAATAGATAAATCAAAACTTAAATTAGAGATGCCTCAAGAGATAATTATTATTGATTCTCCTGACACAGTGCCTGAAGTAAGTATAATAAAAGGAAGATCAAAATCAGTTAGTAGATTATCAGATCGATCTTTTTCAAGAGATGATGAAATAAAACCACGTGCAAAGTCCGCTTCTGTAGAAGATGAACTAATAAAAATTGTTAATACTTTTAGAAATGAAAAAGGGAGACCAAAATCATTAATTATTACTAAAAGTATGAGTGGCTCCGAAAGAAGAGATTCTTCAGATAAAGTGTCACCAAAACGATCGGCCAATGTTAAAGCAAAATCTGATTTCTCAAAAATATCTCCTAAAGTATCTCCAAAAGTTTCTCCCAAAGTTTCCCCAAAAGTATCACCGAAAGTTTCTCCAAAAGTGTCGCCAAAAGTATCACCGAAAGTATCACCAAGGACTTCACCAAAAGTTTCACCAAGACAATCGCCAAAAGTTTCTCCAAAAGCATCTCCTAAGAAAAAAATAATAATTGGCAGTCGAGATGTAAAATCAGACAACATTATCGTAATTGAACGAAGTGACATTTCAAAACAAAAAGAAAGACTTCAACAGAAATCTCAAGAAATGAAAAAGGCAAAGCAACAAACTTCTGATATTGTCAAACAAGAAGAAAAACCTACTGAGACAAAAAAAGATAATGTCGACCAGAAAAAGGAAATTAAAAAATCTCCTGTAGTTTTACGCAGAGCTGGGCAAAGTCCTGTTTTATTTGCTCGAGCTCGTTTAGGATTATCAGAGGGCAGTGGAATTGGTGCTCTACAACGACAAGGAGCTGCCACGCAGTCTCCTACCTCTCAAAGAAGAGCTAAATCTTTGGATGCGCCAGTTATATCAGTGCATCGATTACCACCAGCAAACGCGTTTTCTAGTAAAGATGACACTGTCGATGTCAGTGAAAAAGTAGAAGATAAAACAAAGCAAACTGAGTCTTCGGAAAGAAGTAAATTGAAAAAACACAAACCGTCTCTTACAGAATCTTCATCAAATCAAAAATCGGACAGCACAGATCATACGACGATTCCAGAAATTTTTACAGACTCACACTCAAGTACAGAAGCATCAGCCCAGTATTTAGAATCTCCTCTTACTGAAACTAATGAGGGAGGACCTTGTCCTGATTTATTATTAGATGATGTTGAAACTAGAAACAAAATAATAAGTACAACTATGAAAAAAGAACCTTTTGAAATAAAAGAAGGTAAACAACCTAAATATATTGATCAAAGTTCTGATTCAAATACAGAAGGCAAAAAAGATGTTACAAAGTCTAAATTTTCTCTCAAAAAAATCCAATCAGATAAGAAAATGAGTGAAATGGTGAAGAAAATTGTGCAAGCTGAAAAAATCAAAGAGAAACAAGAATTGGAACAAGAAAAATCAAAGGCCAAAGAAGAAGAGGGAAAATTAAAAACAGAAAATAGATCAAAAGATAAAGATGATGTGCCAAATGTAACTGTTAGCCCCGCCAGAGGTAGAGGAACCACAAGGAGTAGAGAAGCAACATTAACTGATTTTGGGGATTATCCACCAGATGGTCCTGATATGGCTAAATCACCAATCCAAATTTCTATTGAAGAATGTTCCGATGATGACAGAGATCGCAGTGATGTAGGCATAGATCCAGCAACTTATGAAATCAAACCTGGT